AGGACCAATCAGACTGCTGCATTTTGGATCCTATTCAACGCAGTACATAACAGGAACACAGGAAGCAGCTCTATCAGTTTAAAACAGGGGACGTTCTCAGCCCTATCTGAAGATGCTGAGAATTGAACTTTGGATCATCTAAATACAAAGCAGATGCTGAGCTATGGCCCTTCTCTCTTTTAAAGTGGCCATCGCTACATCTTGTGGGAGTGAATCCCAGTTTCACTATGTGGAAGTTCTTTCTTTTGCCTGTCCTGAGTCTTCCAACATTCAGCTTCATTGGGTGGCCTTGGGTTCTCGTGTTATGAGAGAGCGAAATAAGCTTTCCTCTCCACACCATGCAGAATGCACCACTAATGTATCCCGCCCTTACCCAGCTGCCCCCTGCCCCAAATTAATCAATATTTAAAATTCAGCCCTCTGCACCTCCTGACCCTCGGTTCTTACGCAAAACCCTCCTCCCATCTTTCTACTCCCTCCTTGGCTCTAATTAACACTGGCAATAAAAAGTGCTGCGGGCAAACTTCATGGTATGCATAAAGTGATCTGGGAGGGTGGGAGTCGCATGAGCGGTTGAGAAACAAAACGAATGTAAGTCCCATGAGACCAAGCAGTGAAATGAGAACCAAAGGGAGAGAATCTCTTGAACCAATTGTCCTTATCCCCAGCCAAAACAAAACCTTAGTACATAAAAGTTGCCTTTCCCTTTCTATCCCCGGCCTCCCTCTTCCCTCCTATCTTCTGTTGCCCCCCTGCCTATTGAAATTTAGACTCTATACTCCTTGGGATGGGTGGGGACCACTTTCTCCTTTGCTTGTACTTCTCTATAAAGTTCTAAGTACATTGTTGGAACTGTCCAACAACCACCCAGTTCTGGAGGGGAGGTTTCAAACAATCCCTTTTGTCCCCGTGAATCTGGAGAGACAGAACTGATAACTCATGTCCTAATGTATTGCTCCTTCTATAGACATAAGTTTTTATTGAATCCCTTTTATGGAAATCCCCAGGCAATTGGGTGCATGTTATGCTTTTTTCCTTCCTTCAGATCAGAAGGCATCCACCTCTTCCAGGGTGGCTAAATATTGTGCTGCTGCCTGTAAAACTCACCAGGGAGTAATTTTAGCAAACTCATAATTTTGTTCTTTATGCCTAGCATTCTATATTATGATACCTCTACTATTAAGTTTATTGCTATGGTTCTCTGTTTTGTTTGGTACTATTATATATATTTGGACGAAGTTTCTTTTTGGGATAATTGTCAATGACTGTAAAAACAAGATTATATACATACATACACACTCAAAATTCCATTCATAATATAAAGTGATTTCTGCTATTCCTGGAAGATTGATAGCAGAAGGGAGAGGGGTGGGGAACTGGTGTCTGGACCAAAATAATGTACGTCTTCTCCCGGCCACATCACCTCTCTCCCCTCTGCTTCTTGAGGGTACTTGGTGCCAAGGTTACAATAACCTTCCTGGGAAGAAGCCAGATGGGCTTTCTCAGAGTTTAAAATGGATCCGCCTCCCACAGCTGAAATAACATCAGCCTTAACCCAAAACTTTGATATTGGGGCCAATAGGAAAGATGCTAGACGCAGAGCAAATGATACAGGGGCCGGTGGCGACAACTCAAAAGTAGCATCCTACTGTAAGGCCAAGGGAAACTGACAAACCAGGCTGGGTTGGAATAAACCCAGCCAATTAGAAGCAGGTTGCTGATACTCAAAATCGGAACAGGAAGCTCTCTGCAGACATGTATAGGAAAGAGCATGACCTCAGAAATGTCTTGTTCAAATGAGAAATCGTGGGATTGTTACTATTTGGATCAGGGAACACCAAAGGGAGTTATGGGTAAAGAAAACAAAGTTCCTGAGAATTGCCAAGATGAACCTGTCTCAAGTCTCATGGCGTTCTTTTCCAAATTGACCTCACCAGAACCCAAGTTATTGAATATCAGACTGCAAGCTGATGAGCTGGCATGATGAAAGCAAAATGTGATGAGCTACTTCTAGTAAGCCTCAGACATCTGGGAGCATGTTCTGGGTAATAAAACATTCTCCAGAATAATGATTCAGTTACCAGCACAAGCACATATCATTACATATTAATACAGAAATGTGGAAATGTAATGTGGTTATTTCCTAACTGTGATATGATCAGATTAGAGAAAAAGGAAGTGTTATTTTTATTGTTTTTGTGTGACTTGAAAAATACTGAATTTAGCTGTACAACAGTTGAAGAGAACTTATACCACCCAAAGATGAGACTTCATTCTCTGAGCATTCCTTCTCTCTGCTTGCTAAATCTGCTCAGTTTGGCTCAGTGCATCTGAAGGATGGTGGTTCCAGCCCATCAAGGATGGCTGTGGGCAGCATTCCTACATGGCTGGGGTTGGACTAGATCAGGCATAGGCAAACTTGGCCCTCCAGATGTTTTGGGATTACAACTCCCATCATCCGTGTCCTGTTAGCTAGGGATGGTGGGAGTTGTAGTCCCAAAACATCTGGAGGGCCGAGTTTGCCTATGCCTGGACTAGATGATCCTTGGGTTCCCTTCCATCTCTACAATTCTATAATCTATGATTAACCTAGCACACCATATAAAATGAATATTCACCCCTGTTACTGGGAGGACTGCCTAGATTCTCTTTATTTCTTTTCCCTACCTATTAAGGAATCTGTACCTCCATCTATGAATGGAGATAGAACTGAGGAACAGCTGGTTGTATTTCTAGAATTGGAGGACCAACCATCACGTGTTTCCTTCTTCCAAGGAGGAATTGGTACAACCTGATACGTACATAACAGCTAAAAGAGCCTCACTTAAATGTCTGCTAACTCAACCCACACACCTTCTTAAGTCTCTTATCAGATGCAGAGAAGCAAGGCTTGCACACCAGCCAAGAAAAGCATCTTTTCCTGATGTCCTGCCCCTTCCCGATCAAGCATGATGAATAGCTCTGGAGCACTTGAAAGGTTGCACACTATTTTGTGACATTTCAGTTGGCCTAATAAAGGTATTGAGAGTTCCCTGGGATGAGAGACTGACAGTTAAACTACTCTGAGAATTGAAATCCCTACCCTTTTCCTGATCCTTAAATATTTTTGCTCTCGTCTGTGCAAACCTTTTTAAAAAGTCCCAGGAGGTGTGCAATATACTCCGCAACTATCTCTCCTCTGGCTCCTTAAGCATAAAAACAGTATCTTCTATCCTCAAATAAATCTCCTTCCACTACCAACCAGTATCCCTTTATCCTTTGCCTCCAAAGTCCTGGAGCATTAAAACCCTCCATGGTTTTGTCCCACCTTATCTCTCACATGATCATGAGCATAGCCAGGATTTATGTGGGTGTCCTGCCCACCCCACCCCATAAATCCTGGCTATGCCCATGACCACAATATAAGATGGGAGAGATCTGTCTAGCAGTTTGGAATGAAATGTCTCAACAGTTTTGTTTTTTTAAATCTTTTTATCCCAAGCGCTCAGAAAAATCTGTCAAAAGCTTTCTACAATTTCTATGTTTAGTTAAGTGTTTTTATTCATTTACTTGATTGGGGGGATGCAGCACTCCCTGCTGCCTTTGCCCGTGATGCACCCCTTCCCATGATAACCTTTGCTCACCTGTGCCAACACTCACAGCCAGCCAAGGGTGTTCTGCTCTGTCAAAAGACTCTTTTCCTTCCCCAGCAAATTATGACAATTAATAGTGGTTCAGAATGGGGGGGGGGGGTGCAGGCAGGGCCTGATTAGGTTTGATGAGGCCCTAAGCTACTGACGGTAATGGGGCCCTTTATATGTCCAGCTGCCCTTTGTCAACAACAAATTGTTGCTTTTTTGTGTGTTGAATATATGCTATATGGTAATTTATGGACCTAATAGGTATCTAAAGCCATTTGCACATGTTGCCACGCAACCAGTCCATGCAGAATGTAGGCACCCTATATATAAAGTTAAAGGGACCCCTGACCATTAGGTCCAGTTGTGACCGACTTTGGCGTCGCAGCGCTCATCTCGCTTTATTGGCTGAGGCAGCCGGCGTACAGCTTCCGGGTCATGTGGCCAGCATGACTAAGCTGCTTCTGGCGAACCAGAGCAGTGCACGGAAATGCCGTTTACCTTCCCACCGGAGTGGTATTTATTTATCTACTTGCACTTTGTCGTGCTTTCGAACTGCTAGGTTGGCAGGAGCAGGGACCGAGCAATGGGAGCTCACCCCGTCGCAGGGATTCAAACCGTCGACCTTCTGATCGGCAAGTCCTAGGCTCAGTGGCAGCACCACCTGCGTCCCTACCCTATATACAGAAATGAGCAAACCAGTGATATTTTAGGGAGCAGGCTAGCAGGCGGGCCCCATTACTTACATCATAGGAGCCTACACAACACAAAACACTGTTGCTGTATGTAGGTTTTGTTTTACTGTATTTGTTTTTTATCTTATATTTTGGAAATGTACATCCAGGTTTTTTCCCCCTTAATTTTTTTGAGGGGTCCTAAGCTATAGTTTGTTTAGCTTATACGTAAATCCGGCACTGGGGAGGATGCGCGGTACAGCTTCTCCATCCTAGGCAGCTACCTGACATGCTACACCTGCCAGCATCCCTTTTGCAGCTGCGCAATAAGCAGGGACAAAGGAAGCTGGATTAGGCCACTGGCCACCGTAAACACAGAATGCTGGACGAGATAAAGCTTTCTGGTCTGGTCCTGCAGCGCCCTTTCCGTTCTCAAAACAGGTGCCGCTTCCTTTGGTCTCCCCGTCCGGAAAACAGCGCCTTCCTCCTCCGGCTTCTTCCGCTTCGATGACGAAAGGAGTCGGAGCGGCCACAACGACGCCGCGTCCCCCCCGGGAATGCACAACCAGACCGCGAGGCAAGCCCCGCCCCCTCTGGATATCGGGCCTATCAGATCTCAACGGGCGGCGGGGCAGGTTCTTCGGTCGTCCAATGGCAACGGGCCTACCCGGAAAAAAGCGCGTGTGCGTCGGTCCGGCTGGCTACAAACTCCTGTTGCTTTTCGTTCCCCCGGCCGGATTAGTTCCCCTGCCCCGCCAACCCTTTCCATCAACCTTCGCTTCGAATCGCCGGGATGTCGGCCGCGGCTGCGAAAAGGGAATCCGATCTCTCCGGGCAGATCGAGGACTTTGTGGCGCTGCTCAAGCGGGGCGGGAAGAGGCCTCGCTCGGAGGATGTTGCCCGGCAGACGGTGGGCCTGCTGCGGAGGATCGTGGCGAACGGGCGCTGGGACAATGCGGGTGAGAGAGGAGCAGGAGCGGCGGAGGCGGCGAAGGAGCCCTCGCCGCATGCACGGGCTCCTGTCGCCGGGCTTAAACCCTTTCTTCCCAGTCGTGCCCTCCACCCGTTTCTTCCCTAAACCGAGAAACAAAACCGCGATTTTACTTCGGTTGGCTCCTTTCTCCACAAGTAGCTGCAACGATGGCAGGACTTGCCTAGCTCACCATGCATAATTTGCCTTTCCACCTCGAGCGGCCGCAGGTGCAATGGAAGTTTATGACTCCTGCACCTTTTAAGCAGAGATAGGAGACCTATGGCCCTGTAGGTGTTGTTGCCCCTCCAGATCCCATCAATCCTGACAATTGATCGTGATGGTTGGAGCTGATGGGAGCGGGAACACCTGGAGGGCCACTTATATTTTAAAGGGTTGTATTGGAGAGCTGATTATGGAAGGTGCTTCTTTTTCCCCCACCCCTATGTAGCTGCCAACGTTTTCTTATACACAATTCTTAGGGGGTCCCTAGATTGGTGTGCAACCCGTCTTCCATGTGATAATGGTGCATTAGTGGTGGTTTTCTATTGGACCTCCCATACATTATTACATTTTATTAGTGGTTCTGCAATGCATCCTCAGTGTTATCACAGTATTGCTGTCTAGAGGGTCACTCTTGTGCTGGCAAAAATAAGGCAAAACAATAACTCCAGAGCGTCTGTGATATGAGAAGTTACAACATTTCAGTTAAAAGCTATGGGAGATGCCCTGAATTGAAATGAAGCAGTATGTTTGCCCCAAAACATTTGCAGAAGTAAACAGTATTGAGAGTGGGATTGCATATAACCACTCCAATACAGTCATGAACACAAATAATATTGAATGCCCAATAAAAAGGATGTCTGGGGCCCTTAAAAGGTACATAAGTCAAACGCCTGCAAGTGGTTATCCTGTCCTTGCCTCTGCTGATCTGTGTAATGTAAGCACTTTTTACTGGATGTATCATCCTGATCTGGGTAGGCTTATTTTAATCACCAAAAAAAGGGGGGTGGAAAGTAATGCAATGTGTTACACAGCCCCCCCCCCCAGGTTCCTGCCAACCGGATGCAGGCAGAGTGAGTAGTTTGAAGTATCATTTGAGTGTCTGCTGTGAGGAGTAGACACCCTGTACTATGTAATTAACTTTGAAAGTTCCTTACATTTCAGGAGAGCTGATAAGCATAATTCGTCAGGAGGGTAAGAAAATGACTGCTGCCCAGCCATCTGAGACCACTGTAGGCAATATGGTGAGACGAGTGCTGAAGATAATTCGAGAGGAGTATGGCAGGTAATGGTTGCTTTTGTTTGATCAGAACCTAGCCAATTTCTCTAATGTAGAAACCACCTGACCCTACCACACCTAAAACTTCTGTTTAAAATTTATATATAACCATTGGAAATCGTTTGTAGAAAGGCTTTCAGAACAGTTGATTTTGGAGTGTTGAACCTTTATTCAGCTATTTTTAGGACCCAAATTATTTATGTGATTACAAGCTGTTTTATTTATTAAATTTCTATACTACCCTTCATCCGAGGAACACAGGGTGGTTTACAAGCAAAAAATAGAAAAATACATAACACAGTAACAAAACAATACCCGCCTGCCCCATTTAAAAGGCCAAAGTTTGTTTAATTAGTAAACGTCTAAGAGAGGAGGAATGTTTTTGCCTGGCTCCTAAAGATATGTAACAAAGGCACCAGGTGAGCCTCCCTGAGGAAAGCACTCCATGTCTATGACAGGGGACTGATATCAAAATTCCCCACTATCAGACCACCCTCTTCCTGCCCAGTTGAAGGTCCAGAGTGTGACCTGCCACATGGGCTGCTGATACGTTGTGACAGCCCCATGGTCATCATGGTAGCCATGAAGCCCTGAGCCGCCCCAGAGCACTTTACCATGGCTGTTGAAAGCCCCTAAAACCAGCTGTCCAGGAGCCCTCAACACCATTCTGAGACCCGCTCTTTCAGCTCGGGTTGGGAGACTGTGGGCAGTGAGGCAGGCAGTAAACCAGCAGAATCCCTAATCCGTCCCAATTGCTTAATGCCAGGAACAAATACTTAGATCCCCCACAGCAGCCCTGCTTTTATTTCACCAGTCCAGCTAGATGATGTAATTCAGCTGGGGGTAGAGTGACAGGTGTTGGTGAGAGTGGCTGAGTCCAGGCCTCAGGGCTTTGGTCCTGCAAAGAGGCATCCAAGCTTAGGAGTCTTCAGCTGTTCCTGGGGTCCTCCCTCGCTTACACAGGAGTGGTGTTTTAATCTGTTTTTAATATTGTGTTTTAATTGTAACCCGCCCTCAGCCCTTAGGATGAAGGGTGGGTAAGAAATTATAGTTAATAATGTGTTGCTACTGTATGTACCATTCCCTGGCAAAGTAATTACCTTGAATTAAAGCACAATTGCACATGCTATTCTTTTTCTTTTCTGGCCAAACACACTCGAGCTGTGTAAGCAATATTGACCCGGGATATTTGGCTTTTAGAAGGACTAACATAAATATAACCAGATGTTCTTAATTCCTTCTTTGATGGGAAGCCACAATGCCTGGTCCAGCATGTAACTTAGTCTTCCAGCAGGATTGTTTTTCCGTTTTGAAAAAGTCCCTTTTGTTTTGTAGGCTTCGAGGATACAGTGAGGAGAGTGACCAGCAGGAATCACTACACAAACTTCTGACCTCGGAAAGTAGTGACGACACTGAGAGTTTCAATATCTACTATCCTCCACTCAGGGCCAATATCATTGAAATTATTAGTGAACTGTTGATTGAACTAGGTAAGAGAGAGGGTATAATAACAGAAATAACTGTGGGAACTACATGATTGCTAGTAAAATGAGAAAGTTCCAATAATGAGTATTGCTGAAGTGTTCCACCCTTAACTGCTGCATAATGCTGCCTTCCTATTAGGAAGATCAGAAATGGGAAGAAACAGGTAGAGCTTTTTCCATCATTTTCAGCTGGAGTAGTGTAAGAAGATTTTAGTACTCATGATATAGTAAGTGGTACAAATATAGCCCACCTAGGTTCAAGATACGCATGTAACCACAGGAAGCTACTTCTTGCATGGAATGAAAGCTAAACAGTTTGTGTCTGTAATCTGTAGGGACTGTTAAAAGTTTATATAATGCACATAATGCCCTTTCATCCTATTGTAATTGCAAACCATAGATACTGTCTCAGCAAACAGTATGTGTCCTTTTTTTCTTTTTAATGCCATAAGCCTTTGACAATATACGATTCAGGTATGGTAGGAAGTAATGAGATTCCACCCTGTTTGGATTAGTGCCCTATTTCCTAGCTAATTTGCAGTGGAGGAGGTGTTGGGCCTGTCTTTTCTCTTATGGCTGGATTTCTTTTTTCTTTTCTTTTATTTGCAGAGGGCACCACTGACAACATTGCCATGCAGGCCCTGGAGCATATCCACTCTAATGAGGTGATCATGACCATTGGCTATTCACGCACAGTTGAGGCCTTCCTGAAGGAGGCAGCACGCAAGAGGAAATTCCATGTAATTGTGGCTGAATGTGCACCCTTTTGTCAGGTGAGGCCTGTTATCTGGGCTATCCTTGTCCCCTGCTCACTGTTGACTATGGAACACTTCTAATTGTATTTTTGTTTTGTTTTATTTAATTAACAAATTTAACAAAAATAGAAACTATATTTTAATCATAAATGAATTTTTTTTTTCCATTTATGGGAATGTATAGGCTTTGTGAACAGGCAGTAGGTTAAGGGAAACTTCTTACCTTTCCCAGTAGGAGGATGGTAGTGTTTCTGATGATAATGGCTTTAATGGACAGTGTGAAAACCTTGCATGCATGAACAGCACCCATTTCACAATAAATTCTGATAGCTGGCAGTTTTGAGATATAAGAAAGCATTTCTTCCTATAATGCATAGTCAACACACCATTGATATTATTCCCACGCTGTATCAACCAACACTTCTTGTTGTTCCAAAGTCTGCTGTTGCAGGCAAAGCTCTAATACGGGATCAGACTTTCTCTGTGATGGAATTCCCTGTCTGGAATTCTTCTGCTGGAAGTGGCAGGATAATAGTGCCAGCTTTAAACATATCTGTTCTCTTAGGTGTTTGGTGACTGACATATAGGCTATACAGCTTTGTGTTTACTGATAAATCTATTTGTTGTTTCTTTAATACATAGTTTTATAGTATTTTGGAAACTGTCCTATGGTTCTTTTGTAATGAAGAACAGTCTAAAGGTTCTGTCAATAATTGTTATAAATAAATAACATAGTGATTTAATTGCCACAAGTCTTTGTTGGTGAATGATGAGCATTACTGTTTGTTTTTAAAGAATTAGGTGACTACTTGAGGGCTAAATAGTAGAAAAAATAAACCATAGGTGTGAATCTCCATTTTCAGACTTCTGACTGACCGATTCTGGGATTAAGAGGTGATGGATATTGTCAAGGAATCTGTCTCGTTACTGTTGACAGAAATAATGCTTGGATTAGTGGGACCATTGGTGTGACCTGGCATGAGATGAGCTGTGTGCTCATAAAGCTTAAGAAACTCTAGCTTACAAGCATTACTTGCCTGGCCCTTTCAATGCACATTGTCACTTTCCCCTTTTTCCTTTTCAGGGTCATGAAATGGCTGTCCGTTTGTCTAAGGAGAACATAGAAACTACCGTCATGAGTGATGCTGCCATCTTTGCTGTCATGTCTCGCGTCAACAAGGTAGGCACGATGGGACTGTTTGGTCTTTTTCTGCTGCTATGTGGAGCATCCTGGGAAGCTTGTAGATTCAGAGTGGCAAAACTCTTTTAGGCCAAGGCTGCATTGAACTATTGTAAACCAGCCAGGGGACAAAACGTAAAAAATGGATATGGCTTTTTGAAAAAAGACAAAAGACAAAATTCTGTGGGCCACAGAAAAAACACCCCCAAAACTTTTGGCATAACAGCATCACAGTGCAATACCTATGGAAGTAGTCATTGAAATAACTAGACTTTAATTATTATTTTTTAAAGTTTTAAATAGAAGAAAGGGAGGACGGCCTGGGGGCCCCACAAAAATCTTTTAGCATCATGGCATCAGAGCCAGAGTCCAATAGCAGTCAAAATTCCTGTTCTGAAAAACTGGAGCTGGGGGGGGGGGGGGCATCAAAAAATGCTCTTGGCTGACTGCATGTTATCTGGGGATTCCCAAAGGACAGAAATTGTGTTGGGTCAGATGGGTCAAGACCAGCCTTTTTGACAAGCAGAGGGCCAGACTCAACTACAGTTTTGCTAGTGAAAGCCAGTGCAAGAATCCCTGCTATTACAATGGGCTCCCCCCTCCCCCCCATGCTTCCCCCAATACGCTCTGAAGGGCTGAGGGACACCCCCAGAACAATGTGTAGGGGGAGGAGAGGAGAGATCATTGGGAAAACAGAAATGCATGTGCTGCCAGAATGATCTCCTTAGTGCTATGATGAATTATACCCAAAATTTGCTCCCCCCTCGAGTTACTGGTTCTATCATACGTTAGGAATGCTTATCATCATGCTGTGTCATGATCTAAGATAAATAACTTCCACCACATTGCAGTTCATTATGATACTCTGGTTTCTTAATATTTCTGTATTGCAGGTAATAATTGGAACAAAGACTATCTTGGCCAATGGTGCCCTGATAGCTGTCAGTGGAACTCATACCTTGGCACTGGCAGCCAAGCACCACTCCACCCCTCTTATTGTCTGTGCACCCATGTTCAAGCTCACACCACAGGTAGGTGTAGTAACCTCTGAATAGTATCTCTATAGTCAAGAGCAACACAAATGCTCAGAGAGAGCCAATGCTGCTGCAAATGGATGAATCCAAATGCATACATTAATATGGACCTTTGCTAGCGCAAGCAAGTTGCAAAATGCCCGTGTGTCTTTTAGAGAAGACCATAAAGTAAATGTGTCAATGCACTCAAATTCTGTCCTGCCCCGCTGGGTACTATTTGGATCGTATCTCTTCTGAAATCTAACAAGGCATATGGAACAGACCAGGGCTATGTGAACATACAAGCGCTGAAAATGATATTGGATACAGAATTCAGAGGCTTAATAATAGTAAGAAATGATAAGTTTTAAAATGTACAAGAAAAGTACCCATGCTGCATCTCCTGCATAGGATGATAGTGATGGTGCCTTTGCTGTTCTCTCTTCCAGTTCCTGAATGAAGATGACTCATTCCATAAATTCGTCTCTCCACAGGAAGTGTTGCCTTTCACAGAAGGTAGAATTTTTAAAAATTCTTTTGAGAGGAAGCTACTCTGTAAACTACTTTTAGTGACTCTGGACCTTTGAAAGCCCAATCTATAAATGTTTTCTTAGAAAGAAATCCCATTGTGTTCAACAGGGCTTACTCCCAAGTAAGTGTGCATAGGATTGCAGCCTGAGTTATTAAGCTTCAATCTTCAATTCACTGACCAAAAAGCAAGTCTCATTGAACTTCATGGGACATACTTCTGAGTAAACATGCAAAAGGTTGCACTGTTAGTACTAGGGCTTCACTGTGCTTACATCCTGATCTACTTTAAGCAATAACTGTTCTGTAACTGTTTCTTCAGCTAATATATTTCGTACATGCCTTCCTCCAACTCATATTGGGCACCGAAGGCAAAATATGGTGTGATATAAGCAGTGATAAGCTATTAAGATGATTTTGCCTAAGCAAGCATGGGCAATGGTCCCCAGCGGTGTCTTTAACGCTGCTGTTCTGAGGGATTATCAGTGCAGTTTTCTTTTGAATAAGCATGCTTATGTTATACTGTTGTGTACTCAGGCTTTGAATAATAGAGCACATGAGGCAAGATAGGTTTTTATTTCACCTCCTTTTGCTGCACTGTCTCAGTTTTTTCACTGATTCTTATGTGCCATACACTAAGTGCAAGGCCAATTTTTTTCTTGTTCACTTCTGTTGTTCATTTTTCACTTAAATTGCATATTTTTCTTTCAGGAGATATTCTGTCTAAGGTCAACATTTATTGTCCGGTCTTTGACTACGTTCCTCCAGAACTTATCACACTCTTCATTTCAAATATTGGAGGCAACGCTCCTTCCTACATCTATCGTCTAATGAGTGAACTCTATCACCCGGCGGATCGTGAACTTTGAGCTGTGGACACCATTTATATCATGGAGTAGACGTGTACTTTCGCCTGAAGAAGCAGCGGCAAAATAAAATGTCAAACTGCAGGAAATGGACTTACTGTCTTCAAAAGATACTTTATTTGACCTTTGCTTTCTCTGTCAGAAAAAGCACTGCTCTAGTCCTGGGTTCTGTCAGCTTTATTGAAAGACATAGTATAAATCTTGGCTGAGAAAGTTTTAGGATAGCATAGAGGCCATAGTTTAGTGGTGGCCTAAACATCGAAAAGGAATTTGCTTGCAGCTGCTAAGCCACCTTCAGTCTGTCATCACAAATTCTCCTGTAACAGGTCCAGCTCCTTGATTCTTCTACTTTGCTTCTTGAAATAGGACATAGAAATAAAGTTTAGCTGTTCAGATGGTTTCTGGTGGAAAGCAGCCTGCTCTCATTCTTGTTTCAATTAAATGCTGATACTTGCATTCAGGGCAAGCTAAAGTAACCAGTTCTACAAAATAGCATCTGAATGCTTTAATTATTTAGTGAATTATTATAATTTATTGAATACCGCCCTATACCCAGACATCTCAGGGTGGTTCAAAGAATAAGAAGCATTTTATTTTGGTGGTAATTCAGTTTGAAACTCTAGCCTGCATCAGTTGGATAATGCAATCAGCATTTAAAAGTGACTTGAAATACCAAATGACAAAAATACTAAGGTAAGCAGTATAATAATTTGGTTGAAGCAACAGTTCTGATCAAATGTTGAATCTGTGTAGGACCATAATGGTATGACCATAAAGCAATGAGGCAAGAGTGTGATTCTATTATTACTTTACTATTATTATTTTACAAAACAACCTTTCAAAAGCATTTAATTATACAGTGCTAGTGCAATGCAAGTCACTCCATATTTTTCTGGAGCACAGATGTGAATATTCTGCCTCATATATTTTTTAAGTATTAGACAATCCTGGTCCTTGCTTAATGAATTCAGGATGCTGAAGTTCCTTCTTCTTTTGTGCTTTCAGAGTTGATCCCGGTCCCACAGTAATTTGTGTTCCATAACAGGAACATCTATTGGTGTTTGCCTCAAGCACTACCTGTTGAGAGGCATCAGCATTCAATGAAATTTTAAGATCTGGTCAGCGCTTTCAGGTACAACCGTCCTTCTCTTTCCCAAAGAGTTGCCAGCACTTCACCATTTTCTTTAGTTTAGCCAGATTAGGTTTAGGCTGAAGCGGAAAAAATAACATTAATGACTTGGTCACACATACCTTAACTCAAAGAAAACAATCCAATAATATTGCTTATAAAATTCTGTACAAATTGATATTTAAATGGAGGGTACCCTCCAAGTTTACTTTTTGTTTTTCTGCAAAATTAATTAAAACTTGTTGTCATACAATCATCATGAACAGTGCTTGTTTCTACTTGCCTGAGAGTAAGCCCCACTGAACTCAATATGACTTACATCTGAGTAGACATTGTATAGGATTGCACTGGAAAATATCTGCAAGAAATGTATTAGATTCTTGCCTGGTCCTGTTCAGAAATCCACATGGACATGGATGTTCAGTTCTGATTCCTCATGTGTTCCTTTACAGGTATTATTCAAAAAGCTAAATCGTATTTTGAAAAGGCCTTTATAATAGTAGTTCACATAGGACTTCAACTGAATTAATTCTCAGATGAGATGCTGGATAGTTTTTGCACATTATTAACGCTCTCTGTCCAAATTTGAAGCAAACCACATTGGGAAGGTTCTACCCTAAAAGGTTGCATGTAATATACACACATACAGAAGAAGAAAACTGAAGTAGTGTGTTCTACCCAGGCAAACTTGATGGTTAGTATGAAATTTCTGTTAGGATAGGCACACTCAGTCACCACCACATCCTGTGCATTTTGTCTGCTGAATGTAATACCTGACTTTCCTGCTGCAAGTGATCTATATCAGCAAGAGGCAGCATCGAAGGTCTCCCATGAGCACATTGAAAAGGTAACTGACAACATGACAAAGCTTCCATAAGATGGCAGCTCTCCTCCAAAGTCAAGCTGTGATTGAACTTAATAGCACCTGAAAAAAGAAGAGGCTGGATGGAGTAACTCTACAAGAAGGGCAGCTCTTTCCTAGCCATGAAGTTGCATAAAAGGAGAGGGACCCCCCCCCCAAAGGCCTATAACTATGTTAATATCTGTTTCACTACGGCAACCAACAGCACACAACTTGCAACTCATACCTGTAGTAAAACCCATTTTTTCCCCCCGTGAGGGTGAGGAAGAAACAATAGTTGTGAAAATGAAAGGCAAATTTTTCTCCACATTTCTGCTTGTGTATGCAATTTTTTCACAGAATACACCACCATCCACACAACACCATCCTCATCAAAATGCCATTTCATTCCCCACTCCCCCATTACTGTTCATGGGGAGTTCGCTTCGGATCCTCCATGAAAATGGTAAATCTGGATTAAATGGGAAAACAACATGGGATGGCATTTTGATAAGGATGATGTTATTTAGATGCAGCACAAAACCTGCATGCATGAGCAGCACTGAGTTCACAGTAAACTGATATACGGAAGCACAGTTTCAGTATGAAACATTATAGATCCCTGCTGTTCTGCTTTTAATGAAAACTACACCTGTCCTCTCTGAAAGTGTGAGGAAGGTTTCTGTAGAAGAAAGGTGGCCCAAGATAAACAATGCTTTCCTTACCATGGCAAGCCTGGGAAGCCAGAACCTTTAGAATTGTTAGAGGCAGTGTTCCTCGTGCCCCTCCTGTGGATTGCAGAAGCTGAAAAACAGCAGGACAGTATTGGGCAATTGTTTCTAAAGACAACTAAGAATGAAAAGGCACAGCAACTAGAGATAGTGAGGTCCCAGGTGGTCCATATAACCTACTTGCCGTTCTCATGCCATGCTCTGCACCAGCAGTCAACTAAGGGCATATCCACACTTCCTTTTGTTCTGCTGCTTTCACTAGGCGAAACCCCTCTTTAGCATTCAATCAGAGCAAACAGCAATTCAGCTTTTCCCCTGGATTCACATTTGCTCCAGTTTAGCACTAAAGAGCAGTTTTTCCCTGGGAAAGGAGCAGGGCAAGGGGGAAACTGCTCAGACACAGCACAAGTGGAAATGGGGACGAGCTCTAAATTTGAAACAATTTACTGTTGCACCCAAGCATTGGACTCCTTCCTCAGCAAGGGGGGAGGGAGTGCTCAGCAGACAGCTCCCTTCAAGTATTTTGCTCACAAACCCCTTCATAATCCTGGGGGTGGTTTGGTCTAGAGTTACTAATCATTTTCCTTCTCTGAGTAATTAACCTCATCCAAGTGTAAGTTGTGAACAGCCCTCAGGCTGTTACAGACTGTTAGTTCCCTTAACAGGGGAATATGAATTCTCCTCTGGTTATTTTAGAACCCTACACAATAAAAGAACAATTTATGTGGAGCACTGTATATTTTCCCTCCTTTTCCATGTAACAACAGCTTGTACCACAGATTCTCCAGTGAAAGGCCATTTGTGGTTTAAACATACATGGTTATTTATTTACTAATGTATCTGCTCCCTTCTAGACACTGTTTTGTTACTGTGTTTCTTCTGGGAGCTTCACTATTTCTGGGCTATGTTGTTTTAGAATATCAAAGAAGGGGGTAAATTGCTGTCTACCAATGGCAAGAGTGAAGAATGTACATTTGCTATGAAACAGTTAGATGTCACAGGTCCAAGGACAACATGATGCGGCTGCTCCCTTTCTTCCAACTCCTCCCCAAGCACATAGGGAGGGCTGGCTTTTCTTATCCTCCTGTTTGGCCACTGGTGGGAAGGAGTCTGCCCCAACCTCAGGATTCCAAAACATGCAGATGGAAATTCAATATGCTTTCCGACTTTAGGAGGGTAATGTGCAAGTCATGTCTAATTCATACAGCTCTTCTTTATAAACCACACCCACCCACCCACACCATACCTCAATTTCCTCTCGAATGAACTCCTAAAAAATACAAAAGATACAGATCAGCCAAATGAGGTTATGTTCTTTTCTCACCCTCACAAACAAAATCTATGTCCTTCAAAAAGGGATTATCAAAACCATGGTAACAAAATAATAATCAGAATGCAAAGGATCTATACATGCCCATTTCAGCACAGCAGATGCCTCAGAGGAAAGTATGTGGATGGAACTAAGAAGCCCACTATGTAGTAAACTTGCAGATCCAATGTTAAATTTATTGTGTTTTAATTAGTTATTATAAACTGCCCTGGAAATTTTGAATTGAAAGATAATACAGAAAACTTTCAAAATAAGTTAATGGGTAGTAGTCGACCAAGTTTACTTGGAGTACACCCACTGGAATTAATGGACCTAACTTAGTCATATTCATTAATTTCAATGGGTCCACTCTGATTAAAACTTGGTTGACTATCAGCCTTAATGGCTTTTCATGCATGAGTATGACTGCAGTTTCCCCAAACCCATCTTGCCAATTACAATGGAAAACAGGCTAAGCAAATCCTAGGTATAAAATGCTCTGTAGGTTTAAGTATCATTTCTATATATTTGGATGTTAAATATCTTATGATTAGGTTGCTATCTACCGTATTTTTCGCCCTATAGGACGCACTTTTTCCCTCCAAAAATTAAGGGGAAATGTGTATGCGTCCTATGGGGCGAATGCAGGTTTTCGCTGAAGCCTGGAGAGCAAGAGGGGTCGGTGCGCACCGACCCCTCTCACTCTCCAGGCTTCAGGAGAGCCCCACCGCCAGCCCCACAAGCTCGGGGGACAGCGGGGAGGCGGAACGCCGCCATCCCACTGTCCCCCGACTTGGTTAGAAGGCTGGCGGGGGGGAGAAGCCTGCTCCTCCCCGTCGCCAGCCCCACAAACTCGGGGGACAGCAGGGAGGCGCAGCACACCATCCCGCTGTCTCCCAACCTGGTTTGGAGGCTGGTGGAGGGCTTCCCCCTCCCCCAGCCCCGCAAGCTCCCAGAGCGATGCCAAAGCTGCACGCAGCTTCAACATGGCTCTGGATCCCGTTTTGGGGGCTGGGGGAGGGGGAAGCTCGGGCTTCCCTGGCCCCAGCCCCGTGCCTGGGGGGGAAAAATAATTTCCCCCCCAAAAAAATCTAGGTGCGTCCTATAGGGCGAAAAATACTCTTTATGAAGCAGCTAATACATCTGCAGAGTAAATAACCTATCCACTTTAGGTAAGAATTATTAGCAAGCTGTTCCAGTCTGCCTGATCAAGACCTGTATGTAGCACTGCCAAATCTCAGGAAAAACTTAACAGATATAGTGGAAACAATACTGAAAGATCATGCTTTAATCTGGTAGCATCTCTGAATAGAATTTTCCTCATACGTCTTCCAATATTTTTATTCTCCTCACCATTCCAGATCCTCAGCGTCTATGCCTAATGTGCAACATAATCCACATGTGGAAACTGTTTTCAAATACAGATGTCCAAAGTGGATGCGTACAGGAGAAACATAACCTATAACCAGACAACACATACCCAGCTTCTGAGGCACCCTCTCACAGTTACCTACAGTCATTAAATGTGAATGTAATTCCCCAACTACATTAATTACATTATTTCCCTTAAAAGTGTGGCCTTGGCTGTCATTCAGTGCATTTTGTAAAAACTCTGGTTATTACAGAATGTCAAAAACTGAATGTGCCCTTCTTCCACAGTAAGCAAGATGGTATGTGTGCCAACACACACACGAACCAACTTGGAGGAAAGGCAGCTGTTAATTCGCTTCTTTGTCACAAAGAGTACCCACTCACAAGTCTCAATATGCCAAGTTGAGGAAAGCAAACCTATGTCTGTTAACAACGTAAGACTTCCAATACAATTGTACGAAGTGCTCCATCCCTCTTTTTTTAGCCTTGGAAAGAGCTTTATAAAACTGCATTGACAACCTGTAACCCACGAAGCAATCCTGAGGTTGAAACGACTCAGAAATCATACATGGTAAATGAGGACATCTGCTTTCCGAAAAGTCATACAAGTTCTGAACTGATCTCTAGCCTGGTTCTTAAATTAAAAAGTCACAAATATGAGGCTGTAGTGGATGACATGGTAGTGGTGCTCACCTGACCTCCCAACAGCTGAGTTGTAGCTGTTTGCCCAGAAGGTGAGGGAGAGGGGCAAGGTGGCACAAAGGTTGGTGCAGTGCGGAGCTCATCTGCCACACCAACTGGTGCATTTGCACCACACCAACCTCTCCAGCTGGCAAGCAGCAGTGACTCCACTGTCAGGAGGTCAGTTCCACCACGCGGTCTGTTACTGGTGCGGGGTGCCACATAAGAGTTCTCCCACACTTCATGGTATCTTTCTGTTTTCAGGACTTCTTACAGACTCCTAGTTATGCAGGGCAGGGAACAAGAGTAATTGTAATGCAGACAGGACTTCCAAGCAACTTGCTGCCGATCGTTATTATAGAGCAGACATAGTAAATTATTCACATCCACATATCACCTGCACAATGCTCTTCGTCACTGTCTGCCTGCCACGGCGCAATTCATTGGCCTCTTTCTCCACAAAACACAGTGGCACTTTCCCAATAAGAATCTGAGAGCGATTGTTCTCTGGAAAGGATAATTCAAGGCCTAAGTCCTCCAGACTTTTTTGGCAGCACCTAGAAATTAAAATGGAAGCACAAGACTCTGAACTGGAAGATCAGCCTTGGATATTCCTTTCCAGCCAGTGAACAAATTCCCAAACTACAATTACTGCACTTTCTTTAAAAGAAACACAGTATACTGTAATCAAGGATCACCACAATCATTTGCAGATATACTTTCTTTACAAAGAAAAAGTGAGAAATAGTTCTATGGAGGAGCAGAGTTTCTATTATAGAGCACTACTCATTGTCATAGCTGTCAACTTTTCCCTTTTCTTGCGAGGAATCCTATTCAGAATAAAGGAGTTTCCCTTTAAAAAGGGAAACGTTGACAGCTATGGTCATTGTTCAGTTCAGGGGGGAAAAGTTTATGATTAGATTTAACAGCAAATGAACTTGCATTTGAACCTATCTTTTTAGATTGTAAATTTTATTATGATTTATGGTCAAAACATACCCTCTTACACCACAACCAAATAAATGTTTATTCAGAAGTAAGTTGCTTATTTCCAGGTCAGTGGATATAGTACGGTTTCTTTAAAGTTTGAATATTATTTATTTGTATAGCTAAAAACATTGCAAAAGATTAAAAATGTAAAACAGAATAAAAGCAGAACAGAATACATTACACAGTTAAAATAAATATTAAAACCAAACTTTCTGTCAGATAGGAGTTTTCTCCATTGAAGAATTTAGGTTATCATCCCTACAAACTTTTCTCCTTAAAATTGCTGATTTAAAGGCAAAACAAGCCACTTTTTCAGAAGTGTTGTGGGGCCTGTACCCTAATAAAGTTTAATCTAATAGCCAATTGATCTCCAACTGGGAGATTTAAATACTTGAACAAGACTGCTCTTCAGTCCTTGGAGATTGAGCAAACAAATCTTTTTCACTTCCAACCAATGTAACTTGGAACTTCATAATCCGTCTACCACAGAAGAGGAACAACTCAGAGAAGGAGATACTCATTCAGCTTCAATATCACCTTTACAATACCAGCTACGCTGGCTGCCGGTGTGTGTCCAGGCCTAATTTAAGGTGCTGGTCTGTCTTATCCTTGTGAATCTGTGTTATTCTTGGTTTTAGAAATAATTGATTTTTAATAACTTGTAGTTTTTATTGTTGTAAGCTGCTTTGGATGGACTTAAACCAGAAAAAGTTGTGTGTATTTTAAAAGAGAAATAAAAAGCACAGCCAATTCACAGTCTGGCTAATACCAACCATAAGAGTCTCCTCTGCTCCTCTGTAATCGCAATCTCCAATGGGGGGCAAACAGTGGAGGCCAGCAATTTCTTCTTGCCCAATTTTTCTGGTTGCTTCTCATAGGAATCTGATAACAACAAATGCACTGTTATCTATCTTATATATAAGAAATGTACCTTACTGCCTCATCCTACAGCCCTATGTTTTAGAATGCAACATGCATGCAGTTTGAAGTAACATAGTACAGTATTTTCTTCAGCAGTGGACGCAGGACCTTTAATATTAAGAACTGAATATTCTCTATTTTCAACCACAAGCTTGTTCATGAGACATGAGGATTCCCAGCCAGTATCAACCATGGCCTTCCGAATAGGTAACAATTATAATTTCCTTTAACGCATGACCCACCCAAAAAATAGCCAAGCAAGCTGTTACAAGTATAGTGACTCCATTTAAATCCTTTAGCAAACACTTTTTGCAGTCCCAAGGGCTTTTCACATTCTTGAGCAATTTTCGCTGCCAGGCTACAACCAGAAAAGTTTCTCTTGGACTCTTCCCTGTAGAAAATTCATAACTCTTGTTGACAAGGAGGTCAATGAACTGTTATAGGCACAATGGACTGCTGCTGTGTTCTACTGAGTTGTGGCCAGAATCTCATGAGGCTTGAAAAATACACATCCCTTGTTGGACAGAGGAGATTATTCACAATCAGCTAAAAATACGGGATGTAAAGAAAAATCAAAAGAAGCCAATGTTGGGGATGCTAGTTCTCACAATGAAACTGATCCCATATTTTCATTCCCTACAATTAACTGACATACATCACAACAAATCTAATACAGATTTGCATCAGAAAAGGAAGAAAGCTGCTCTTTTTTTTTTTAACCACCTGTAACTATACCTGTAATAAGTTGCTCTAGGCGGATTCGCTCATGGGCTGCATGCTGGTCCACCAGGACTAAGAGATTTCCACCTAGATCAAAAGCATCATAAAAAAAATTCAGCATATAAACTTGTGCTACAATTTCCTTTTGATCTCATCTCATCCAATAGAATAAATACAAGTTTTCTGAGCATATGCTGGAAATGTTAAAAAAAGAAAGCAAGAGGGGATATTATCTTATATGTCATGCAGCAAAAAAGTATCGGGGAAGAAGATAAAATGCATAATGGTTTCTGTTATTGTTTAAGAGATTCTTTTAAATCCCATTTTTTAAAAACTGAATTATGTCAAAGGCTTGGTATAGGGAAAACCCCCCACCAAGGAAGTAACTTCTTACATACAAGCTGTGGCAATAATATTGTGTGCAAAGGATTGGAGATAACAAAGAATACTGTAAGTAAAAGAATAGCTAAAAAATGTTTAGATTGGGCATTAATGGAAAACCTGTTATATTACTTTCAAGCACTAGAAAAAAGAAAATTGCAGTATTTTTACACATTACTTCCCCAGTCAAAGAGCGATCTTAAGAGGTTTTAAGGTGTTAATATTGTAAAGTCTACTCTCGATGCAAGGTTAATTAGGTTCTCTTTTGATATGTTCTACAGATGAATTCAATAAAAGTCTATTATACACACTAATTTATGAATTAGCAATCATTATTTGAATCTACATCATATCATTAAGATATTTTGCAGATTTGTCCTATTGACCAGGGGTTGGGAACCTCCAGCATGCAGACCAATCCTGGCCCACAAGGGGGATCCAATTTGGCCCACAAGACCATCTTCCCCAGGTCACCCCCATTGGGCCATCAGCTGACAACATTGGTGACATCAGCTGAGAGGCTGGATGATGGAGTTTAGTCTTGCACTGCCTGTGTGCCCCATTCCCAACACGGAACAGGATCGTGCAGCCAAGGGAACAGCATTTAATCTCTGCTCTTCAACTGAGGAGTAGAGATTAAAGTCTTCTCAAAAGCAACATGGCTCAGGATGCCAGCTTAGAAATGCCATTACTGGTTCAATATGAAAAGAGTTATGTCATTGTCCCAGGTAAAGCCTAGTTCTACAAAAGCTGCAAAACCCTATTACTTAGAGGAAGTAGCATTCTTACCTGTGTCTTCATTCTCATCTGCCGTAGTATTTATTAAACAAGCAATAAATTTATTGTCCACTTGATTAAGAACCTGTAACACATTCAGATGACTATTCATTAAAACTTACAAATAAATCTATAATAACTGTATAATAATTCAACAAAAATATTTCACTAGTTCATCAATTTGTTGACACACATCAATAAAACATTATTTGCTAACAACAGCTATTAACTACTGCACTGTCTGTATCTTTCCAACTCAAAAGAAATGTTTTGTGCAAATTGTTAGCATATTTACCTGCACTGAATCAATCATCTTCTTGGTGAACCTATATGGGTACAGGATGTTATGGATTTTCACAGCAAGATTATCAGCTTGCCCACTGCTCACATTAAGAGCAACCTATAAAACATATAATCAAAATTAACTTATTAGGATGTCTGCTGGAACAACAAATATCAGTACTCAAAATCATATGAACAATTGTTTTTAAACCATGTTCTTTGTAACAGAACTCGAAGTCCCATTCAAATAGCACTGACATGGGTGTTTCCCACACCATCTTGCAAACCTCTGTGGGACGCTAAATAAAGTTGTAACATCAGCAGTGTGCAGTCCTTCTGATCAAGATAAGTGGGTTTTTTTGCAGCAATCTTACCCAAAACATTTAAATTGGTCCCACTGATATTTGAGAAGCGATGGGGTCAACCACTCTAGTATCAGCATTTTGTTGTATTTGGAGTGGATGCAACGAGCTAGTAAAACTATCACCCACTATTGTTGTCACCTTACATAGATGCTTAATGTCTACATCAGTTTGAGATGATAATGATGGAAGCTATCCTTTACTGGACTGAAGCTTGAAGCTGATGTTATTTTTTAAAAGGCAACAGCAGAAGGTTTGCTGCTTTGACTTGACTACTGCCAAGTTAAAATATGAATATAACCTAATGGGCATGGTGTATACTTTCCATCACTGACCAACTCCTTCTATATATTTACTTGAAAGCAGTTTCCTTGAAGCTCAGTTGGACTCAATTTCAAATAAATACATTTATTCTAAAGATAGCCATATCCCTCATGAGTAAAGAAACTTAATTTAAATGAGCAGTAAATGCAATGGATAGTACTATAGCTTCCCTATCACATTATAGAATCCAGTTAGTCCTACAAGAACAATCACATTGCACTATTTACATTGCCAGAGATAACTGAAAACTGTGCTATAAACCATTTAGCTTATAACTAGGGCACAGTGCTTTATCCTCAAGTCAAGATTGTTGTTTTGGTAATCTAAGCAGGGCCTATAAAAGCAATTTGGCTTCCAAATGAAACAGGATAAGCTTTTGGAAAAGTTTGAACAAAAATACCACCAATTTCCAAATTGCATGAAGGACTTGTAGACTCAATAAGCATAATGGGTGTGAGTGGTAAGTTTTTGGACAGTTCCATAAATCTATATAACAATTATTATCTCAGTCCAAAAATCACAATGCAACATAAAACAGAAGCAAATCCCAATAATTAATGGTGACGCAATTCCACCCACCTCTGGAAAGTGAGCAAACACAGGATTGTCCCATTCAGAAAACAAGGACTGGAGAGATTCTCCTTGCGTATCTAGAAGAGAATATATGCAAAGTATTGAAACTATGGGGGTTGGTTCATATTTTTTTCATCTACAAGTTAAGATAATATCCAAGTAGAAAAAGCACACTGCCCATTATGACATTTGAGATTTTATTTTATCACATCTGCACAAGATTAGAAAACCACTTCACTGCACTATTTATATAGAAGGATACAAAGCAAAGTTTGTATCCCCAAACCGCTGCTTAAGTAGCTCTGTCACCTTTAGGTGAGATGGTTAAAGCGTCAGGATCTTCCTCCAGTGTGTGTTTTAGTACAAGAATCTACCCTGCCTTGAAATGTTAAAGAGGGCTTGAAGTAAGTTACTCATTCCTACTAGAGAAAACACATACCAGAACAATGATTCACCTTTCCTTGATTCATAAAGATCTCAAAAATTAAATATGGTGTCATTTCCAAACGAGAACTAGGACAATCAGAAGAAAGGGATTAATTTTCCTCTTCAAATCACTGTTGTTTACATAGAAGTAGGCACTGCATGCTATCCACATTTTAATTGACTTTGACGCTTAAAAAAGTTATTTCCAATTCCACACGTCAAGTGATTCATACAAGTCCCATTGTTAAGAGACCTTGAATCACTCCAAGTTCCTGTTGGGACAGCTGGCAGAATTCTTTGGTTTGTTATTATTTAACATAGTACTCTATGTCCTGGCCTACCTCTGAAATCTTGGCTTGCTAAACTCCTCTCTTGCCGAGGTCTTGGAAGGAAGGGCACAATAAGCTCACTTCTAAATGGGTGGCATCTGCACTGAAACCCTAAATACCCAACGAAAGAATTACTTCTATAGATGTGCTTACAAGTGCTAGTCTACAAAAATGTCCACTTGCTGTTTTCATTATAAAAGGATCAATAGGTGATTAGCATAATACAAAACATTAAAGAATCACATCAGTGCAACACTGTAATGATGGAGAAATAAGATTTAGTCAACATTTTATGAATTACGAAAGACACATCAGCAAGGAGACCTGCATATAAACTGTTCAGAAATAAAAGAACAGTGGTTTTCAGCAGGGAGTGGGGGGTGGGGGTGGGGAAGAAACTCCCAAGTGCTTGAAGGAAAATTCATTCCAGGCCCAACATGTTTCAGGGGCATGTTTTGAACAGTTCTCATCAAGTGCATAAAAACACTGGTGACAATTCTTGCTCAGAGAATGTATTCCCTCTCCCTTGAAGGACTGTTCCAACAGGTGTTGAGACTGAAATAAATATTTTTTTCAAACACCTGGACTTTCTTCCTCCCTCTCCCCCTACTGCCTATCCTGCTACAGGTGGTTACATGGTTTTGTGCTTATAGAATCACAGAACTGAAGGGGGTCATCTCGCCCAACCTCCTGCAATGCAGGAATCACAACTAAATAATCCCTGACAATAAGCAAACCTGAAAAAACACTGTGAACTTACCGCTCTCCATGACAACGTTTACAGCCACTGTGCTTATATCTTTAGTACATATAGCCTGAGGTTCCTCGCTGGGAGCAGTATAGGTGCTCAGTCCACTCAGTTTGTTGATGTATACCATCCTACCCAACGAAGCATCAAACTGCTGAAACCATTCAGAATGATGCAACTGTGGCTCTTCCTCCTCAGCTGCACTTGAGTCATCTGCAGCATCCTCCGTATTGCCAATCAAGTTCACATTTTGCAGTTCAGAGGCTTTCCCAGCTTGCTTTATAAATCCATCCACAATGCCTGTATTTTCACAGGAGCCTTCAGAATCAGCCTTTTTGTTGGACAAAGCTAAACTTCTGTTTGGGGAAACTGCATATTCCCCATCAGTGTCAATGAAACAATGGCTGACAGTATCTTCCGCGTTCCCAGGTCTTGTGCTAGAGATTCCTACAGGATCATCCTGCTCATCAGAGGCTGAAGCAAAAGAAAAACTCTCTGCTCCTGTTTTTCTTGGGGAAATTTGAGGTATTTGGCAAGCACTCTGCAAAAGATTATTTTGAGATAGGTGGTCATGTCTGACTTCATCTTTTTGGCCTGAATGTGATTGGGATTGTTCTGAAGTATGCCCTAGAGGTTCTGTAGTTAAAGTTTCTATAAGGCAGTCCTTCATTCTAGATACTTTAGAGGCAAGTGTTCCTGTGAAGTTAGTGCCAGAAAGAGGTTTATTTTTTATCTGAGAGTATTCTGTCAGTGTCAGAGGACTCTCCTTTATATGAACAGCTTCTCCATGTAATAGACTTTCTTCTATGGAGTGCTGAGATCTTTCTAAAGAAAAAAGGCAATCATGACCACTGTTATTAGACACAAAATGTTCCTTAGTTGGAATTTCACAAGTACTAGAGTTCTGAAAATTTGTATTCTCATTAGTGGGATACCTGCCACAGGCTGGCCTTTTAACCTCACTCTTTTCCGCATCAGTTGTTGGCGTACTCTTTACGTTCCCATAATGTCTTCTGAATCTATCTAATGACCCCAGCTTTGGATGCAAGCTTAGTTTTGTAAAGCCACAGGATCTAGGCCTAACTGAAGGATCAATCATTTCCCTAGTTCGAGTTGCACTGTCTAGATGATGAACAGGACCTGAAGGTGCCTTATAAATAAATTCTTTGCCATGTGATGTTACAAAGTCAACACTACTATGTGGAGGAAAAGAAACTACCTCATTCTTTTGACCTGACATGTTCTTCTTCCTCATACATTTGTTTCCAATGGCAGCACTGGTCCTCAAGTTTTCTTCAGCACTTGGAGTTTTCTCTGAAAACTCTAGCTTTTTTCCAAATATATCCTTGGCACTTATTGGACCCAGTTGTGTCTGTCTGTTTAATGAACTGTTAATTTCTGTTGTTTTGTGAGGTGGCAGATTTTGCATCAGATGTGTTATAAGGCCTGTGGAACACAACTTAATTTTTTTCCTTCCCATTACCACTTCTCCATTGACATTTGATCCTGCAGACGGTTCCCTACCTGTCACTGGCTTATATTTTCCTATCAATCCGTGTCCAAGAAGAGATTCACCTTCAAACTCATTAACATCTTCCATAGCTTCAATATGTCTCAGAGTGACAGTGCTGGGGTTACTTTCCTGAAGGGCTCTGTCTTGTTGCCTATTTGCACAGTTATCATGTTTCTCAGTACAAAGTGAAGTAGAAGCATACTTGTCTATTTCTAAAGCAACTGTCCTGTCCTGTTCGCCGATTTCTTCTGGACACTTGGAATTAATTGGCTCAACAGGGAGATTATCAGAAATGTCTGATTCTTGGTGTAGGTTACCCAACTTTGGCAAGCTGGAAATTGTCCCATTTTTGTCAGGCAGAAGATTCTTCACATTACTGCTACTCAGATCATGAACAGGTCCAGTGCTAGTCAAATCTGAGCCAGCATCTATTCCCTCCAAATTGTTAGTTGGTGCTGTGTGGTCTGATGTCTTATTTTCATGAATTAATTTCCTTTTGACAGACTTTGACTGCAGATTAAACATTTCATAAGAATCCACAATATTATCAGAAGCTCTCTTGTAACTCTCTTGCAAGTCCTTCTCCTCAAGGAGAGATGGGTGTAAATCTACAGTTTTAACTAAACAAAAGTCATTGTTTTCATTAAATTCCTTAACGTCTTCACCACACAGCTCAATAAATAAATGTTCTCGCTTTAAAAAATATTTTACTCCTTCCTCAATGCAATCTAGGAGAGCATTCCAGTTGTGAAACTCTATTAGAGTTTTTGCAGGTTCCAAACACACATCATAAGCATCATATGGACATTTCACATTGATAATAAAGACTCCATAGAGCTCTGGGCCAGAGCGCTGACGAGCAGGACTTGAAGTCGAAGACCCACTTTTTGTCTTACATATAATGCTTTGTTTTCTTAATAAAAAGTCAATAAGTTTATGCAATCTTGTTTTTAATACCAATCTATTATTCACATATAGAAACTGAATATTCTTATTGTAATGCCCTTCAGAACTGATAAAACCACTTATCTCGAATACTGCAGATTTATAATTTATTTCTCGTAATTTCTGGGATCTACCTAGATCATAAATCTGAGAAAACCGAGATCGTGTATCTTTTGTCTTTGGTAACTGAAGCATCATTGAACAGGAAGCATCATTCCTTAAAGAAAATGAGATGGAGGGATGAATAAGTGAAAGAGCCTCTACTTTATGCCTCACTCTCTCAAATTCCAATCTGGAATCCATGCACTTTCTTCTCACAGGTAATTGGTGGAATAAATTGTATGCAGTCACTGTTGTTCCAGCACTTGGTCTATTCAATTCTGTTTCAGAGACTTCCAGTCCTTTTCCATTGTGAAAAAGTTTCAGGAAGGTTTTTGCTACCTTATTTGTCTTGGATGATATTTCCAATATACTGGCCATGTTTGCTATGCTTGCCAAAGCTTCTCCACGGAAGCCATAAAACTTTAGATTTTCTAGGTCTTCCACTGAGTAGCATTTACTGGTAAAATACCTATTTCCCACTTTGTTGAGGTCATCTCTTCCCATCCCACTGCCATTATCCACCACCTGGACTTTAAAAGTTTCCATATCCAATCGGACAGCCACACATGTTGCTTTAGCATCTATGCTGTTAAGGACAAGCTCCTCAACACACTGGCCTAGTGAGTTGATGGCCACTCCAGACCGCAAGCTGGTTTGCACTTCTTCAGCCAAGCATTTGATCATCACAAAAGTGGAAGGATGAAAACCTCAGGAGACTGGTATGTACTGCCGCTTTCTTTGAATCCCCTATAAGAAAACAGAGTGAAAACAACCAAAAGCTTAATAGATATATTTAGCCAGACACCTCATAAATTCCTTAACATTTCCCTAGTTTGTTTCCATGGTCATTCTTGTTGCCTTACAGCACAATCCTATATTTGCCTACTCATAAGTAAGCCTCATAGAGTCAAATGGTGCTTAGTCTCAGTTTGCAGCATTTGTCAACAAAATTCAGTTCTCATTTTAGAAAAGTTCAGCAATTGCAGAATAGCTCCATTTGTTTCTAAGTTGATTCAACACTTCTTTATGTTCTGTCCAAACCATATGAACATGCACATATACACAAAATCCAAAGCCATCAATGCCAAAGCTAAATTATGACAAATAACTGATTTTTGGTGAATTCAACATGTGGTTTCACAAGTTGAAAACAACGCACATATCCACACAGGATTGTGTCAACTTAATATGAGTGAAATTAAGCATAACTGCTGGACACTAATGCAGAGTGCCATAATTTAGCTGGCACACAGATGGTAATAAGTGAAGATACACAAACATTGTGATTATTACAAATGTTCTAGATGGGGACTTAATATTGTAAATGGGGCATTAGCAACATTTTTAACCTATTGGATTTTCCACAGAAAGGGTAAATCTAGGGAAAAATTATGCTCTGGTATTTTCATGCGAATAACATTACATGGATGCTGCAAAAATAAATAAAAAAAGAGAACTGATTCCACAATAAACACTTATCTGGAAGCACCCAAAAACTGTACAGTCCATTCAGACTAGTTACACACAGAAAGAAGATAGTGTGGTGCTGGCTTTGAGAGGATGCATAAAGTTAAAAAATGAAAATGGAAGCACCAGCTAGCCACCGCTTCCTTTGCTTCTTGGTTACTGCAATGCCAACTCCCATTGCTTGGACCAGTATTTGCAGAGCAGGTATAGAGTCATTGTTAAAATACTGGCTGAAGCACAAGTTCAAAACTATCCTCAGTTTTGACACTCACTTAGGCCAGTCTTGGGCCAGTCAGCCACTCTCAGTCTATCTCATTTCATGGGACTGCTATTGTGCCAACCAGGGTTTGAGAAATAAAATACAGTAAATGAGTACCTAGAAAGATTTGAATAAAGCAAACGCACTTTTAAAATACAATTAAAACCCCTTATGAAGCGATTCCAGCTGATGAGGGGAAAGGGGGGAGGATATATACCCGCCTCTTTGCCTCAACCAAAACAAGACTTTGGGGTGACCAAAGCTGGAGAGAAAAGCAGGTGCTCCAGACTTTATAAAGACAAAGTAGAAAGCGGTTGGTCTGCCCCGGGTAAACCACTGGCTGGACTGTCTCCTCCCTCCTTGCATCCCAGGCGTGCTCGCAACAGACCCGCTTCTCTTCCTCGCTCCGCCTCCCGCAACCGGACAAGGCACCAATCCTCATCCGTGGCAGCCAAATCGACTTGCATCTCCCGCCGCCTCAGCTGGTGAAATTAACTGTCAGACACCACCTGAAAACTCGACGGCGGCAGCGCTGAGAAGGGAGGCCTGTCGTTGTTGTTGTTGCTGCTGCTCAACAGCCACTGGCGAAAGCATCGGGACACCGATTCCCAGCGTACAGAAACACGGTGCAATGCACCCTGGGTATTGTAGTCTTTTCGAAACTCTCATTCGCCAGCCCCGCTGGTAGGATCCTTTGTGTTTGCCGCACAAAGTCTGTGTTGGACGTCTCTGGGGCGCTCCTAATGAAGGGCCGATAAGTCAGCCCTGCAAAAGCGGCGTGGAATAAGTAGCAGCAAAAGAAATCTCTGTAGGCAAGGGAGCGAAGGAACTCAGAAAATTTGTTTCTAGCGCTGTGCACAATTGCATTCTTTCCATCCGATGAACTGGGCTCTAAGCCATGAAAGCTGATAACATAATAAAATTTATTAGCCTTTAAGGTGCAATGATAGTGTTTTAGCTGAACAGACTAATACAGCTGCCTCTGTGAAAATTATTCAGAGGCCAAAGCAAATCAGGGGATGAATGTTGGGTTTGAAACACACAGGTTGGAGCCTTTTTTGTGCTCTTTAAATTCATCAGATCTGAGCATTAGCTATATAGCCTTCTCAATGCAGTACAGACTGCATACACATGAAGTGTTTGTAAACCAGTTTTATATGGATAGGCTCCACTGTTAAGAATATAAGAGCCTTGCTGGATCAGGCCAAAGGCCTGTCTAGTCAAGTAACCAGTGTGGCCAAGCACATACCAATGGGAAGCCTACAAGTGAGAAGTGAATGCAACAGCACTCTTCCCACATGTGATTCCCAGCAACAGGCATTCAGAGACATGCAGCCTCCAATAGTGGAGGTAGATAATAGACTTCATGGCTAGTAAGTAGCCTTTGATTATCCTTTCCTCCAGGGATCATTCATTCCACCAGTTTTGCCAAAGACCCAGCTCCATCATGCACCTCCTACCCCTGAACTATGCAAGCTTGTCATTATAAAAACAACTGTTTTAAAAACTAGTGCCTGAGTTTGATGTGTTTTCGCCTCTTCCCTCCTTGTCCCTTTTCCCTTATGTGTTGTGGCTTTTTAGATTGTAGGCAGAGGCGAATTTTGGGCAGTGCAATCGGTTCCATCGCACTGGAGGGCGCTGCAGGGCGAATTTTGGGCAGTGCAATCAGTTCCATCGCACTGGAGGGCGCTGCAGGGCTTTGCAACTATAACATAGTGAATTGAGCAGAACCAAAGGTGAGAGGCTGAGGTGGTGCCAGATTTTGGCTTTGCACAGGGTGCCACTGACATTTTAAAGACCAAAGTCTGCCATTGATGTAAGCTTGTGGACAGGGACTGTCCTGTTTTAATTGATTGTATGTAAAGCCACTCTAGGAGCCTTGTTGATTTAAGAGCAGGGTACAAATGCTCTAAACTTTTTTTGGCATCTGCCTGTCTCAAGACACAATGGAGTGCACCTCCAGGGGGTGATGTTAAATAAATTAATAAACAAACCTAAGCATACACTTTATTAACAATTCTTAACACATCAAGTTCTTAGGACATTCAGTGTAACCAATGTATTCACAATGTAAATAAATAATTTAAATATATAGTTAAAAGTGAATAAATCTGCACATAAACAATTAATATAAAAACTAAAGGGAGCGCTTTCTTCCCAATGAGCTTACTGCTCTTACTATAAATATAGTACTTTCCCCCTGGGGCACTATTATTTGACAATAGAAAAGTCACTATGCTCTAAACGAGCAATCTTCTTCTCATTGCGGAATTCAGCTCTGTCGATGCGGGACTTGGGGCTTCCTGTCTTCTGAAGCCATTCTTGAAGTTGTCGCACCTTGACAGTAGGACCTTGGATTTGACCTTGCACGGTGCCATAGTCAGTATTCTGCACCCAGCCAACGACACCCAACTTCTTTCCTTCAGTCTAAAAAATATATATAAAGATGCAATTTATATGCTGGAAAAAGAGATAATAATACGCTGCCTTGTGGGACATATTTGAGAGAAGGAAAGGCTAAGGAGTAAACACTATACAAATCCAGAGTGGAGTCCCTAAGACAGTCGGATGGCGCCTTGTACACTCCTTCCGGCAGCTCCGGCAGCCATGTTGGTGTGAAACATATTGCTTTGCTTTCCTTTAGACCACACCAACAAGGCCAAAAGGAGTGTCTTTTTGTCTAGGCAGCCCAGGTCCTCCATATACACTGCCCAGGCTTGCGCCTCGGGGAGGTCACTTCAGTGCTGCTAACACAGCAAAAACAACACAGGAGGCAGCAGTTAAGAGTTACTGGTCTCTGCTGCCACAGCAGGCACTGTAATTCTTCAGCAGTTTGGCTTCACCTCCAGAGCAGCATTCCATTGTCAACATATATATGCAGAAAACACACACACACACACACACACACACACACACACAAATTAGTCTGAATAGAAAGGAAACTACAGAATATATTTACATAGCAACCAATACCAATGAAGAAAGAAATAGCCACTGTTTAAAATCCAGACCTTTTGACAATACAAATCAGCGTGGTTTACTCTTAAATAAATGGACTGGAGATAGGACTGTAGCCCAAGGCTGTATCCACATAGCCAGCTTAAAACACAGCTAGGGATAGATACAGTTGTGGCCAAGTAGTGTATGTATCTCAAAGAGGCAGTAGGAACGCACTGGATGCGGGAGTGTATACACAACATAAGCTGCTCAGCTGCCCAAGCAAAGCTTCTAAAGCGCTCATAATGCTCACGCTTTCCCCGCAAATGCCTGTGTGGGCGCGCCGGGGAGGCGACCGGAAAAGTCACACCACACCTTCCCTTTGCCTACCCCAGGGAAACCTCAGCCTAGAGCACACCCACCTGTGTGTTTTTGCGGAAAAACACCCCTTGGACTTTCCCGAACACTTCGTAGTCCACTGAAATGAGGCCGTCTCCCTCCGCCATGGCCGCGGGCGCCTGGACCAAAAGCAGAAACGCGGTTAGGCAGAAAAGGAGACGCCGAGGGTCAGGGTCCCATATTGCCCACCCCTGCAAATGCTGGGAGAAGAAGACGGTAATCTCCGCGGCCTCCGACGAAGGAGCCATGGTTGTGGCGGCGGCGGCGGCGCCTACTTGGCCCAGGGACTCTCCCAGGGGGGAAGGACCGCCTCCCACTCCGCGCCAGCCCCGCGTGCTGCCCCATATTAGGGAGGGCAGAGGGCGAAGGGGCGCGGCGGGGTCAGGGCAGCCCCAACAGGCGCCGCCCGTCATTTGCATCCCCTTGGCTACAGAAGAGAAAGGAGAGACCTGCCGATTCAGGAGCCTCTCGGCGCGTTAAATCTAACAGCGCGAAGCTCCCGCCTGGCTCGTCGCCAAGCAGCGGAGCCGGTCTCCGAGCTCCCAGTCAGGAGCCAGGGGCACCTGGGCGGCACCAACCGCCACTAACGGCTCGCCTTACCATGGAGCTGCCCTGGGCCCAGGTGACTAGAAGGGCCTCAGAACATGGAGCGGAAGTGGAGACGGTCGTCAAGGAACGAGACTCGACGTCTCTTTCTCTAACCTCCCCCTCCCCCCGCTGCCTCACCGCCCCTTTTCATGCTGGAACGGCAAATGAGCTCGAACCATAGAGAGGGGACGACCATTTCCCTTAAAAATAAATAAAAATAAGTCAACGCACAGAGATATACAGACCCTAAAGATGCGGACAGGAAGCGGGGAGGACGGAGCCGGATGTAGCACGCGGGACGCTCGTTGCTAAGCAACGGTGGTAAACAGCTGCCCTGTGGATTGGGTGCTGCGGTAAGAAGAGGCAGGTGAGAATAGGCTTGGCTTGAGGGGCTGGGGACGAGTGTCTGGAGCAGCCAGACATGCTCTGCGAGGGCGGGCGAGCAGGCAGGCCTTGCGGAGCGCGGGGGTCCAAGTCACCCTGGAGACTGAACAGTTGGGTGTGGGTGTCCCCTCTTGGCTTCATCCCATTTCTCGGTGGAAGATGTTTGCTTGGCTCCTGCTGCCCCCTGTAGAACTGACCAAGCAGTCGCTTGGAGCGAGCGGTAACAGGACGCTGGGTTGAAATCTTTTAATTCTGCACCTAACTGGCAGTCTTGATGAAGAATGGGGGGGGGGGCGTGTGGCCAGACACAAATTGTTGGTCTCCAACACCTGTCAGCCCTAGCCAGGATAGGCAAGGGGATAGTCAGGGATGATGGAGGCTGGAGTGCAACATCTGGAGGGCCGCTGGTTCCCCACCCTTGACTTGAGGATGCAACCTCTATTAGTTTCACATAGGAATAGCTACCATGATTTAAAAGCATTATTTTGGCAGGTATCTTGCATCAGCTTTCTGAAATTGAGGCCCATCACTTGCCAACATCTGATGAAGCTTCTACTGTAGTTACATTAAGGTTAGTGTACCTGTAATGAGCTATCAAACACCTCTCAGGCCACCTTCCCATTATTAGGAATTTTGCTGATTCCATTAGGGTCAGTAGTTTCACTGACCCTAAACACTACCTTAGGTGTACACTATGTTACTGTTTTCTATTACATGAGAACTGTCATAGTGAATGAGAGCAATAATATATCTAGTTAAATATCCTGTATTCTAGATGCTATACGTATAGTGTCAGCTGAATGCTATATATAGAACTTTATGCATTTTATTTAGTCTGCTGTCTTTGGTAGTCAAAACCTTTCATAAGCTTAGGTTGGTGCACCAGTTGAACAGATAGCTTGATCACAGTTGCCCACACCCTGATATAATCTAGGGTTGATGAATGTGATACATTGCATGTGAGGTACTTTTGAGTACTGGTATGGTTCAGCATACTTTCTGATCATTTTGAACATATTTCAAGTGTATTTAAAAACTTCACTGGCTGCTCATCAATTTCTGAGAGCTGGTGCTTATCTTTAAATGGCTTGATACCCAGGTACCTGAAGGAAACCTTGCTACCATGTCAGCTTTCCTGTGCTTATCCTCTTTGGAGGCTCTCTTCTAGGTACCCCCACCATTTGAAGTAGGGAGGATGGAGAACAGAGAGGGGCTTCTTGGTTGTACCACCTGGTCTATGAAATTCCCTCTCCAGAGAATTTTGTCTGACACCATTATTACTATCTTTTAGCAGTGGGTAAAGGCTACATACAAATAGCTTGTTTGTTAAAAGCTTATTAAATAATTGGGTAGCAGAAGCAATATTAGAGAAGTGTTTGTGGATCAAACCTGTAGACAGAAGACCAAGTGTGAAAAGGTTTCCTTGCACTAACCTTGAATCAGGGGTGGGATAGTGGATTGCATCAAGTTATGAATCTCCCCACCACCATTTATTAAAGTCTTTGTAAAAGGCTTTCAGTGCAGATATAATGGTTTGATCCCTCCCTCTGCCGGTCCATTTTAAGAGAGGAAAGGAAAGGACTAGAAAACTTGATACACTGTTGACTTCTTGTCCCCTTTTCTACACCATTCCTCCTCCCTTAGGCCCTGATGTCAACACAGAAATTTCTAATGGCATAGGGTCCCCAAGTTTGCCTGGTGCACTTACATTTGCACAGATTTAAGGATTCTGGATATTGTGTTGATACAATGTCAGGCCCATATGCAATATTCTGTCATCTTCCCCATATGCCAGTGCTGTTTCCATCACTGAAAAGCAAGGCCCCCTGTATATATCTGTAAAGCCCCCCTAGAGCTGATGTGTACAGTGGTACCTCGCAAGACGAATGCCTCGCAAGACGGAAAACTCGCAAAACGAAAGGGTTTTTGGTTTTTTGAGTTGCTTCGCAAGACGATTTTCCCTATGGGCTTGCTTCGCAAGACGGAAACGTCTTGCAAGTTTGTTTCCTTTTTCTTAAAACCGTTAATACAGTTGTGACTTGACTTCGAGGAGCAACTCATAGCACGTGGTGTGGTAGCCTTTTTTGAGGTTTTTGAAGACTCTGGTGATTTTTGAAGCTTTTCCAAAACTTTTCTGACACCGTGCTTCGCAAGATGAAAAAAACTGCAAGACGAAAAAACTCGTGGAACGAATTAATTTCGTCTTGCGAGGCACCACTGTACTTGCTTTCCCCTATTATAGTAGGGGAAAGGGATTCTAGCATGAGGGCCCCAATCATAGCATGTATGTAACTTGTTGCATTCCCCCAGGCTTTACTGGAAATGCTGAATGGCTCATTTGCAGCTGGCCGTGTGTTCACATATGGATCCAATGGCAGCCAATTCCAGCCTTCCTGCAACAAGCCAGGAAAGATGCCACCCTGAGGCTCTTAAAGAGCAGGTCCAGCTAGAACACTTGAGGAGTAATATCCAGCAGCAATTCCTGTGCAACAAAGATAAGAAGTTGGCAGATCTTCATATCCAAAAAGGGCGGAGCTCTTCTTGTTCTCAGCCTGCAGAAACTAGTCAACTGATCTTGGAGAAGGCAGGTTTCTATTCTGCTGGCCCACGCAATTGGTACTTCAAGGGCCAGGCCAACAGTCTGCCCTCCCACTGGAGAACCAAACGGAGAGAAGGTGTGGACAGGTCATACCCTCTAAAACCAGTCTTTCCCCATACAGCTGGGAATGTTCACCTGCCCAGTTCTTGGCAAGTTGGGAGCCCACCAGCTAGAAAGACTCCTCCCATTAGCCCTAGCTCAGAGAAAAAAGGAAGGTCACATGCAGCCAAGACTCATCATGTTAGAGGGCCTTCTCCTTTTTCTGTAGAGCAATCCAAGAGAGCAGCTTCTCATTCACGTAGGGCAGAGTCGGGCTACATTCAAAAACTGGAGGCTGCTGGGCGGAGCTTAGAGGAGGAGATCCAGCGAAAGGAGGCCCTGCTCAGGGAGAAGCTGAGGAGAACGGAAGAAGAGCTTCGAAGAATCCAGTGGGAGAGGCAGCAGGCAGAAGCAGAAGGAAGACGGCAGCGGGGAGGACTATGTATGCCTGAGAGGAAAGCAGCAGGTATTACTCAGGGCCATGTTTCCAGGTCTATAGTTCAAACGCGTAACTGTCAAAAGGTACATATTCCAGACAGCCCTGCTGTCTCAGTGGGGACTGCCCTGCCTCCCCAGGCACTCCACATGGAAAAGCTAAAAAAGCAAAGATTGGTGGCTAGCAACAGTAAAATTCGAGAGAATGTATCCCAGATTTCAGCCACTTCTAGCCCAGAACTGGCTTCCATGCGTGACCAGGCTCCTTCTGCAGCAGCCTCGTTGGGACAGGTTGACTGTGTGGCAGCAGAACCCTCATATACAGAGGCTCCAAGCAGTGTAGAGGATTGGGGAGAGTGCAATTTCTGTGGGCGAAAGCTTTATTGCTCCAGGTTGGAGAAGCACATAAGCATCTGCAGGAAGAATCATGGCTCCAAGAGAAAAGTGTTTGATTCAAGCAAGGCTAGAGCAAAAGGCACCGAATTAGAGACCTATTATCTATTGAAGGGTACAGACACCTCTCAGGTAATATATTTACTTACTTGTTATGCATACCCTGCTGTTCCTTTGGGTCTGTTTGGAACTTTTAGACAGTCACTGATCAGCCTGGGTTCTTTTTAGCTTTAATGATGTACCAGCATCATTTGCCATCATTCTTTGGTTTCCACTTTGGTCTGGGATGATGGTCATTCTTTAACGCTTGGAGTTCCTTTCAAATCATGTGGAATTCCTAATAAATCTTGATGATCCCTAACATCCCTCTAATTTCCATTCATTTACTTCAATTCAGCCATGGGTAGGGTGACTGCTAGAAATTAGACCAGACAAGAGCCCAATAAGTAGGTTGAAGTCCTGGTAAATGTTTAGTTAAATACACCAAGACTTAGCAGGGAGAATGCTAACTATTTTACCTTCTTTCATCATACAAAAACGAGATGTTGAGGATGTGAAAACAAATTTTCAAAATTATCAAATTAATTTTATGTAACAAGTCAAGTCACTCATAACTAACCTACAAATGTCACAGCTGCATGGTAAGATTAAGATCAGGCTTAGAACGATCCTTTGAAATTAAGAATGAAGAAAGTACTCATATTTAAAAGTATGGAACAGTCCAGTGGCATTAAAGTCGTTCTATTTTAGAGGGTCTGTTCAATTTCATCATCAGATTAACTCTGGTAATTTTACCCCAGTTTAAGAGATTTCATCTGCATTCCAGTTACAATGTTCAGATGATCTGAGTAGTGGCAATGATTTTGGTAGAAAACCTAGTGATATCATTCTGCAGTGGACCTGTGAGTTAGTGATATGACTTTTTAAAAGCATCACTTTCTGTCCACCTAGCAGAACTTTGGTCTTCACATATGCTATGTAGTTCCATTTGCCTTATAGGGACCAAGAACTTGTTACATTAGAAATGTCCTGCTATCTGGTATATGAAAACTAAGCTGTGTCCAGAACAAAAACAGTGGCAGGAAATATCAGAGTGTGAGCTGACAGGTTGTACTAATAGTTTCTCCCTTTCCCCCTTCTCACTACAGAAAAAGAATTCCAGACAAAATTTTGAGGCTTCCAAGCAAAACAGTGAGATATCTAAGCAAAGCAACTGGAGACAGAAGCACGAATCGTTCATCAAGACATTGCGTAGGGCTCGTGAGCTGCAACGAGTAATCTCCAAAGGAGGGAAGGCATCAGACCTCCCCCCAGCCCCTGCTATGGAGAACCCAGACTACAAGTTATGCCCTTATTGCACCCGTCAGTTTGCACCTAAGGTGGCTGAGAGACACATTCCCAAGTGCAAGAACATTAAGAACAGACCCCCACCGCCACAGCAAAAGAAGCGCTGATAGTAGTGGGCCAAAGTGAGATCTGCAACTGGAATCATCACATTGAGGCTCCCTGCCATTTCCTTGTTTGATAGCACAGAGTAGCAGACAGCATTCCCAGTGCTGCAGTTTCATTTTATATATAAAATACAAAGGTGTGAAATCAGTGAGAAGCCCACAAACCATGAACAGATTATTAAACCCCATGTATTGCATATTAAGGTCCAGTGCTTCGTAAAATAGTTAGACCTAAGGTAGTGCTCTCACATCTGTGTTGCTGCTGTTGGCTGGTCCTCATTCCCTTCCCCGTGCAGTTCTTCACAGAACCCATGCACATTTGTCAGGAACATTAGGATTTCTGTCTGCCTCCTAGGACATGGGATTATGTGCTAGAAAGATACTACTGAGAATTATCAGAAGGAACTCTTACCTGTCTTGAGGTAATCTTCAACTTTGTGAGGCATCTGCTAAGTGGACTACCATTCTTGGTTTACATGTTCATACAAGAACAGAGAATTCTTAGCTCCCATAACTGAAATGAAGGTCTTAAACTACCCAGATGCTCAGCATTACGTAAAACTCAAACTATAGAACTGTATTACTTATATAACTGCTGGGAAGGGGCGATACCTACTTGGATATATTGCATGCTATCCATCTCATCTGGCCATTAAGTTTTCTTGCCCATCTACAAATACTGGCAAACAGAAACCTGGTCTGTCCAAATTTCTCTAAAGCTAAAAAAGAATGGCTATGGGGAATATGAGAATGGCGATTGTAAAATGGATTGATTACTTTAGCATAATTTTGCCACTGAATCCTACCTCTTTATGCAGTCATAAGCTCGGGGAGCGGGGAAGGAAAACTAGTTAGTGGGCAATTGGACTAGCCATATCTTTGGTGTCAGGTTAGTGGCTGAGACATTTTGGGGGCTCACCAACTAGAGAGAGTGTTTGGCAAGCAAGGGGAACAAGTGCATTAAAAGCAGGGTGGTGTATGCATTCATTGTCTCCCAGTGACGAACTCAAGTCTGTAATAAAATATGTGGAATGTGGCAACTTGGAAAACATGGGGGGAAATGTAATCATTGAACGTGGGAATGTATTGCTTCCATCACAGCTTCTTCACAGATACCAGCTTTATTTTATGCAATGCAATACTTCAACAGATTATGTGGTTCATAAGCATTGCTACGGATGTCCGAAAGCTTCAAAATGCAAGTGTTGGTTCACTTGTGAGAAATACTGATACAGCTTTAGAGACTGTAAGGACAAAACCAGTGGTGTGCACAAACCCCTTTCATATCGCTGGTCATAAAAAAGAGCATCAAAGAGTAGTGATGTGTTTAACTATGTAAAAAAGTAGGACATGGAATTCTGGAGAGTATCCCCACTGTAGGAGCTACTATAACGGGAATATGAAACAATTATCAAAACTCACTCCACATTTCTGTTACTAACAAAGTAAAAAAAATAGTTGAGGACAGACTGGTTTTCTCCATTGCACACATGGCTATTGCCAGCTCCCCTTGTTTGCTTTCTGCATGCTTTCAAGGGGGGTGTTATCAAAGCAGAGGGGCTGGTTTTCAGTGGTTCTCCTGTACCAGCTAAAGGAAATTTTAAAATCCCTTCAAGATGAATTAAAGAAAAATCCAGAACCCATTTTCCTTGGGTCACAACCATTTAGAGAATATCTCTTCAACAAAATAGTTTGCACTGTATGCAGAACAGCAAGAAATATGCACTTGGAAAGATTCAGATTGTTTCAAAGGAGTTAAAAAACAAGCAGACACCCCTCACCCAAAAAACCTTGCAGTGTGCTCTATTATGCATGTGTGGCTAAGGAAGATGCCAAAACCATAGAAGAGAGAGATGGCTCTACTCTTATTTGGGTCTTACTTCATATGCAATATATATATAGTTTTTGAACATTTAAAAACTGCATTGAGTCCATATGCAAATCAGTTGTGTATAAAGTTTCTGAATACACTTGAGCCTTGATTTGGCACCAGAGGTCTGAGGAGGCAATTTAAGTAGATTGATTTTTGCTACCATCTGTGAGGTATGCAGTTTTTTGACTGGGAATCCACACCAACATCAGCACCACCTCTGATGTGCAGTATTAATAGGGGGACTGTATTGCAGAGCTTCTGTAAGTAACACTCTCTCAGCACAGCCCTTCAAGCTGCTATGTGGGTTTAACAGTGAGGGAGTTCTATGCTGATGGGCTGCTTAATTTTTAATCATTTCTAAATAACAGACCATTGTCCCCAAGAATGACAGTCAGCATATGGGAACACTTCACAGCACTGCAAATTCTAGGAGGGCACATCTCCAGTAACAAATATCTGCTATACCTGCTCTCCTTATTACCTTAAAAAAACCCAGAGATATGGGTCCTCTGCTTTTCCCAGATACAGTACTCTTGAGAAAACGGGGAATCCTCATCTCTATTAGTTGTTCCAGACTCAAAGATACATATCCACCTCTCAACAGCAAGTTATTTATCACATTTCTAACCAGTGTGTGCTACCCCTGTCTTCTTAGTGCACTGGTTACTGATGGCAAATAAAGCTGATATTGCTAACAAAATTTACATGACGAAAAATATGAGTGATGATAGCTAATTCTGTAGAGCCAAAGTTGTAGAGATTTTAAGATGTGCCTTGCAGGAGGGGGGCGCCTCAAAAAAACTAGAGGCAAACTCTGTCACTGAAAGCGCAAGACATCCATCCTAACATTTCTGATGACTGCAAGTGTACAACCAAGTAATGGAAAAAAAGAGTTTGTTCCATTTAAGTAAGATAAGAAGTCCAGAGTGGATGCTGAAATCATGGATCTGTACTCGAGCTACAAGTAAGCATACATTATCTCATTTCTATTAGAAAAATTCAGAACACACGAGGCAAATGAGTGTCAACATTTATTTAAACAGAAAACGTCAAACCATTCCACCATTGAACCTTTCAAAAAATAGATAATGACAAACTAGTTTTCAACTAGAGTGTCAGTGCAGGCATGTTTCACATTCCATTATAACAAATTAACAGCAATGCTAGCAAGAGACTGACATCTACAGAGCTAGCACTGCTGAAAGAAATGGGTCTGAAACTGCTCAAAGGCACACCTGGCCCATTTGCCCTCTAGCCTAGGGCAAGATATGTGTTTAAACGGCTTCTTTGGTTGCATAGCAGGGTTGGTGCATATATTATGGTCTGTAACAGGCACAGCTTGAACAGCGTGAATCCTAAGGCACATACATATATTGCTGTGGAGCACAGATCATCCTCATTATAGTATCTAGTACTCCACAAGATCCAAGGGGGAAATTGTCTGTGCATTTCACTTACCAAACGTGTAACACGGAGTAACTCCCATTTGCTCAGCAATTCCTTGCTGGACAATATCCAAGAGTGCTAGTTCATTCTCTCTTAGTTCCTACTTTATAACAGGACAGTCTCTACAGCCACAACAGCATTCTCATATAAAAATAATAAAACTGCTCCAATACTTTTGGAGACAAGATTATCGATCAAATAACACAATAACCTACGGTTCATTTGGTATTTTATATTCAAGCTCTTCTCCTTCCTCCACCAACAGTAAGGAAAGGCATACCAACACTATTCTTGGGGCTGAACAGAAGAAAAAAATGGTATCTAAGTCAGTTCCAAGACAGTATTTGGAGAATTCCTCAACAATGGAACTATTAGGGTAGGATACTCTAGCACCTGTTTCCAGCCAGAAAATGTTTATCAGTCTGATAATAGTTCTAGAAGAGAAAAGTGCATAAGGGGATATTAGAGACAAGTGAATGGAAGATTGTAAACTCCATCTATGACTAGCAAATAAAAGACAAAATAGATACAGTAACTGTTCACGAAAGTTAGATTAGGGTATTATTTTCTTAAATAAGGAACAGTGGGAATTCCACTCCAGGGTGGGGAGTATGCAGAAGTGGCTCCCAGGAATCACAATTATGCCAATTACACCATTTAGCAAAAGTATCAATTTCATCTTTAAGGTGAAAAGCAGAAACTCTATCTTCAGAGTTCCCTTATATACAGTTTAGAACTGATTAAACTAGAAAGCTTTGAATTGGTATATGTTAGTCTATTACAAGCCAAGATAGCTCAGTTGGTAGAGCATGAGACTTAATCTCAAGGTTGTGGGTTGGACAAGATGACCCTCATGGTCCCTTCCAACTCTACCAAGTCTATGGTTCTAAGTAATTTATTTGGATAAATTATTAAAGCTGACACTGCTTTCTTCCAGCTTCATCAAGAATTAGACAGGAAATGAAAATACTGATTTGCAGAAGGGGCGCAAAGCCAAGAGGCTTTCAACAACTCACTCCAGTACTCAAACTAAGATGAAAAGAAGAAGCAAGTAAGTTGTGTGTCCAATTTCAATTTCACGTAGTCCTTGGCTGGCTTGAAAAATAATTGCTGTGAACTACAGACTACTTGGATAACTGGAAAATACAGCCATTAAAAAAAAAAAATGTATCAGAACCGTACCTAGAAGTGCTAAGAAAAGGGTGACAGAGATCCTCTCCCTAACATCCCTTCAGTTAAAAGTTAAAAACACCTTCTGTACAGATTGGAGGAAATATAACCAGAAATGCATCTGCAGTGAAAGACAGATTTTCTCTGTTTCCACCTTCAGAGTAGTATTTTTCCAATGCTTCCCCTCCTACAAAGCTGATGTCCTGCCCTTTGACTTTAGGTTGAAAGCAACTTGGAGCATGACAGTTTGACTGTTATTGTTGGTATTCATTTTCTTTCCTTTTTCAGTCGCCAGAAGATGATGTGTCAGGGCTCAATACTGCCTTTGCAAAGTTGGGGGGGGGGGATTAAGGACATGCTATTGGAGCCATTCCTGCGGTGTGGCTACCTGACCTCAAGGGCAGACTGAGATAATGTATTTATAGAGAGGGCAGGCTGCTGATGTCTGAACAGACCCTGGCTTGAACTTTGGGCTCTGCCTTTCTCTAAATGTCCTCCTAGGTTCATAGCTTAGGGAGGAGCTTCCCCTCTTGCATACATGGACGCTGTGAAGACCCTGACCTTCTTGTTCACAAAGGACCTGAAGCCAGGAAACCTGCTCTCTTCATTCAAGTTAGTGTGCTGTGAAATTGGATAGATTCCAGTGAACTTAAAAGACTACAGGCTGAAGCGGCATGAGTCAGTTCCCAGGAGACACCAGGAGTCAGAATCCAAGTCAGGCTTTGGATCTGCTTCCATCTCTTCCTTGGATGTTTGTGTGGCTTTGGAATGAGCCTCAAGCTGCCCAGACAAACAAACAAAAATTACTCCTGATAGAATAAAGAAACACATTATATATTGCACATGAACTCTGTCACTTGGCTGTTCAGTTAAACCATGTCTGCTGCATTCGGTTATTGCACACATGTACAAAGAATAGAATAGTGAGGTTTAGAGTCGAACAACCATCTGCTCAGACTGCCAAGGAAGTGTTATTAAAAAATCTGCTGCTTCCCAGAGACCTGCTAATCTGGAACATATTTACGGGGGGCAGCCTGCCTCTACTATTAGCTAACAGAGCTCAAGTTACACTCCAGACATGGGATGACCAACTGAAAGGAAAAACAAGTGTGTTTTAATAATCAACTTTTTCCCCATTATCAGCCTCCAGGGGTCTTCAGGCAGGGGAAGAGAAATAAAAGTGGAGTGATGTAAGAGAGACCCCATTTGTTTCTAGGTTAAGCCAACACTAGCATCCCCAAATGCTGCTGGTAAATGTAGAGTCAGGCATCCTCCAGCCTTCCAACAAAACAGTCATCACTATATTACAGTCAACAATTCCTAGCCACAAATCCAACAAACCCAAGGTTGTCTGAAGCTACTAGATTACTGCAGTATAAGCCACACGTTCTGCGTCTCTGTTAGCTTGCATCCAACTTTATCAACTGGCTGCTACAGCCTAACTTCTCTTAATCTAGATCTCAGCACCAATTCCACAGAACTACAGGAACATTAGGAATTACTCCAGCATTTAATATGTCATCCTTCTCACAATGGAAACCTTACCTGCTGTGACCCTTCTGTCCTCCTGGAGAGACTCTGGAGCTGGGCACTGAGACGGTTGGTTTGTTGCTGCAGCATCTGCTGGTCAGCCAAACACTTTGATATTAAGCCATGCAGACGTTCCACTTCAGTCTGCAGCAAACTGCATTTGCATGCAGTTGGTACCCCAAATGTCTTCTGCCCACTACAGGGCTCTGCTGAATCCAAGGGTTGCCGCTGCACAAGAAAGACAGGAGATTCAGGAATGAGCTTGTTTGTATATACATATACAGGGTGAGTCTTTTAAAAGAGGCCCCGTGGAACATGTGTACTCTGTATCCACGGGCCCTCTTTTAAAGGACTCACCCTGTATATCTATGTACAATGTGGAAAATTTTCCAAGCCTATACTTGCCCAGGTCATGGCAGCAAGCCATGGGTAGAAGATGAGAGCAAAAGTATTGAGAATTTAATACTAAATAATGGAAGCAGAATTCTTGAATAAGTGATGTACTGAAATATTAGCTCATAGAGAAATTGTTGTCAAATCTGTAGCTGCAAATGTCATATGCATTCTATTTTGAGACTGGGTAGGTTAAGACTACATCCTTTCCCACAGCTGTACCTGTTTCTTGAGATGTTTTCTTTCTTTAATTCTCCTCCTCAAACATAATCTGATTTCTTGAAATGAAGGGTAAAAAAGTGCCTTACCAAAGGTGCTCCTTAGGGCGAGGTAAATTAAATTATGAAGCCCGTAAACAGCATCAGTATCAGATAATTCTCAGAAATCTGTCTCCTTGCTCAATCAATTGCTGCTGGGATTAATTTCTCACTGTTATCCACTATTCAGAAATGAAAAGACTACATCCTCTCCTATGTACTATCTCTCTTTCCCATGTAAAGTCTGTATCTATACCAGTCTGAATTATTATCCTTGCATCCTGTTTCTACCATCAGCCCCAAACTGTCTTGAAGAGTTCCATGTTTAGCAATTTAATTTACCCAAGATCCTGCTTCAGACTTGTTATCAGCATGTGTGGGTGAAGCCAAGTGCAGTCCCTTAAGCTCATTGTAGGGAAGAGTTTCTTTGTCAGATTCTGAAGAGGCTAGGCTCACAAGAGAGGGGTTTTCAGGCATGGGGATGAACTCTGCATTCTCCAGCTCCTGGTTACACACACACACACACACACAGAGAGAGAGAGAGAGAGAGAGAGAGAGAGAAAGAGAGAGAAAATGAACAATGTCAGATTTTCTTCACTTTCTTATCTACCTTTGCTGCAATATGAGGAATATAAAAAAGGAACACAGGTGGCACTCTCTTTCTGTTTAGAAAATAGCCACAGTGTGATGCACACTGCAGATAATGGCTCTAAGAGTCAAACGTGGAGGTTTATTAAGATTTACTGATGCACAGTTCACGTATTTCCAAACTTTGTTAAGAGTGTAACAATTTTTTGATTTATATCTTTAGATTTTCTGAATTTATGTATTTTTAATTTTTACAAGGTTTTGTGTTTTTATGATGCAATAACAATGTCCTTTATTCTTATATTTATCTTTGCTTATAGCTTCTAACAAAGGAGTTTTTTCTCTGGAACACACTGAGCTAAATAAACATCTTATTCCAGTAAAGACTGGAGCCTGTCTCCTTTCTGTTCTACTTGTCTTCGTGCTATTCCCCCAAAATATAGGATGGGTCATTGAATGTAACAGAGAGAAATTATGTGTTCTTGCAATATGTATCCTTCTATTCTTAGTGACAGACTGAATTCAATAGAAGTGGCAGAACTGATGAGTATTTGAGGCATAATCTTGATAGTTTGGGTTTGTGCCCCAATAATATTCTTTTTGGGACGATTCAGTGGATAAGCTTTGTTCAGTGTCAGGATACAAATGACTGCCAGATTTCATAATGTTTGTTTCATTGGCACTTACAATAGACTGCTGTCCAGCAATGGCAAACCATGCTCTGCTATGTGTGGATTTATCTGTGAAAGAAAGACTTTGGTATTGCCTCAATGATGGGCTGATATTAAATTTTAGGTTCTGCCAGTTTTACTTGCATTTCACTTACTTATCCTGCTGTTCAGTTTTACAAGGGAGGTCAACAAAATGTATCCTACACATTATGAACTAATCTGTGCAGTCCTACAAAACTAATTTCTTGTTTCTATATTGCTTTTTAGGGTTTTGGTACTTATCTATAAACTAAGGAGAATTATATGGAATGGTTATGTTTTTAACTGCTTCAGAACCTTTTTTAGCATTATAGTCGAACCTCGGAAGTTAAACAGAATCCGTTTTGGAAGTCCGTTCGACTTCCAAAATGTTTGGGAACTAAGGCGTGGCTTTCCGTTGGCTGCATGAACGGCGGATGTTCGGGTTCCCGGAACAATTGGTTTGTGGTGTCTGGGAGCCAAAACGTTCATCTTGCAAGGTTTTCAACTTCTAAGGCACGACTGTACAGTGGTACCTCTACTTACGAATGTGACCCGTTTCAGGGTGCCGTTCACACCCCGACAAGTCCGTAAGTAGAGCACCGCTACTGCGTGTGCGCAAAGTGCAATAGAGCATTTCTGCGCATGCGCAAAGCATGCAGGTTGCTTCTGCGCATGCGCGCATGGCGAACCCCGAAGTAAACACTTCCGGGTTTGCTGCGTTCGTAACCTGAAAAGCTGCAAACGTAACATGAGGTATGATTTTATAAAAGAACAGGCACTCGATAAAAAGAGATCTCATCGATACAAAAGGCTAGATGGGATATATTGTAGCTTTAACTTGCTTCTGCTCCGTTATTTTTACTAGAAGCTAATCAGAATAGGAAAAAGGAATTTTATATCAACTTTCAACATCAGCTTTCAGGGCATTTACAATCAAAATGATAAAAAAGCACATCACGAAAAGAAAAATATAAACAAAATGCCAAAGACAGTTTAAAATGGTTTCTACTTTAATCTCAATCTCTCAAACTTTGAATCTGGATTTCTGACCCCATTTCTTTTTTATTTGTTTTAATTAGAAATATTTATTCACTGCTAAATCACAAAACACTCCAAGTGGTATACATCGTAAAATTATGGGTGTGGAATTCAAAACCGATCATCCTTCTAATCAAGGTTTCTCTTCTTTCTTCTGTTACCTGAAAAGCCCCACCTAAAAAGCTATTCAAACCACGCCCTTAGAAGCGATTCCGGAATAGAGGCAAAATTTACCATGGTGTTTTTATGATTTGCCAAGAAAAGAACATTAGGAAGAACTTTCTGACAGTAAGCTATTTGAAAAAGGAGCAGACGACTTCAGATAGTGGGAGACTTTCCTTCACTGGAGATTTTTAAACAGAGGTTGGATGGGCCCCTATCAGGGATTCTTTAGTTGCGATTCCTACACCACAGGGGCTTGAACTAGATTATCCTTAGGGTCCCTTCCAACTCTACAATTCTATGATTCTAAAGTTCTATGATTCTAAGATTCAACTAAACTTCAAGGAGAAACCTCTCACCCACAAATTCTCCACCTTTATTGAAGAAATGCTATTCAGTTTTCCTGTACCCACTTTGCTTTAGGTGAGACAGAAATTGTTACCTTGCGTAACCAGCTAGGGCAGGAGCTACTGGCAGCACTGCTGTCTGCAACTGCTTCTGTTGCACTAATCCGATCCCCCATCCCATGGTCTGCTTCCATGGTTCCTCGGAAACCTCTGCTGGGGTCAGGGGTCTCAGAGTCCCGCTCACTTTCCTCCTCTTCTCCTCCTTCAGCTGTAGAGCTTTGGGCCACTAGCAGAAATGGGTAGAGTATTAAAATCCTTAAATATTTCCCTTGTTCGCTCAGGAGCATCTTCAGCCTTGGGAATGCAGGTCTTGTCAGACCTCAGAATGGTGATGCAAAAAGAAGATAATCCAACAGTAAACAACATATGAGACTCAGGTACATCAGCTCACATAGGATCCTGGGCATATTCAGAACATACACCCCCCCAAAGGTTTGGAATTATTTTTTACTAGACACACAATTTTGGGCAATTGTAATAAATTATACTAATGTCCATACAACGGTTGTGGGGGGCGTGGAGGGGGAAAGAAACTAATTCACTGGGGACTTACAGTAGCTTACGCTGAGCCAAAAGTTACCACCTTCTGGAAATGCAGACCCCTTAGATTTTTGTGATAGATAAACCTACTATATATTATCAGACATTTGTCTACAAACCATTATTATTTCAAATGTAATAGGAAGAGACTTATTTTATCAACCCTGTGCCTCTTCCCCAACTTTAACTTTCACCATCTTTTTCTTTTCTGGCAATACCACTTATCCATCTTCTTAGACTAGTTCTCCCATCTACTGATTCAATCAGGTGGGCCGAACCAGGTTAGTCAAGGAAAAGAACCTTTGTGCTCTCCGATGTATGAAATGGGGGGAAAGAATAAGCTACAAAAGTAGAATAATCTACCAGAGGAGTTTTAAAAAAGAAACGGATGGGCTAGGTCAAGATGAGGTTTTCAGATAGGAATGAAGGTACACTGAGTCAGCCCATTTGGTCCATCAAGCAGCAGGCAAGATGGCCTGAGAGCTACATGCAGCCATTGAGGCCTCTTTGGTGGCTCTTGGCAACATCACACACACACACACACACCGCCCAGCCCGCATGCTGCCTTCCCAAAGCCGGGTAAGCAAGGCACTGGGCTTGGGGAAGGAGGCATGAGGGCTCTGACAGGGTCCTACAGTCCTCCCACCTCTTTCCTAAAGCCTAGTTGGTGTTTTCCCAGCTTTGGCCTATTATTAAAAGCCTGATTACTTACCAGTCCCAATTGAGAGGCCACTGCTACTGGAGCGGAGGATGGTTTTAGAATTTATAACTTTTTCTGGAGAGAAAGTAGGAAAATTTTCTCAGATGAAGATTCCAAAAACATGCTGATCTATTTCCTTAGAAAGGTTATCGCCTACTCTTCCAGTGAACTTGTTACATTTTACATTTCCCTTATGATTAGAGAAGACAAGTATTCCTGAGTAGGATCCTGTTTCCCAACTTTTTAATACTCACCAACAATTATGATGGTGTGCCAGCCGCGGCAAGATAAATCTGGGACGTAATGCAGGGAACCAAAAATGGGCCGAGGCCATGATGTACAAATATCAGAACTATGAGCCCTTTCTGTTGGTGTCATTGCTAAACGGCCATTTCCACCATTACCCCAGGCAAAGATATGGTTATCTGGGGAAGAGAAAAGTGTTATTAGTCTCAAGTCAAACACTCCAAACTGCCTTTCAAGGATTCCTATACAGCTGCATTTCATTCCACTCAAATGGCTCACCTTTAGTTGAAATTTTAATAATGCAGTCTAGAAGAACACCATAAGACAGCGGTTGAGAACCTATTTTCCGCGAGGGGCCAGACTGGCACTTGCCCAGTATTCTGGGAGCGTCATTCCAATGGTGGGTGGGTGGAAGAACTCCTCAGAAAAGACAAATGCATGTACCTCTAATCCCCCATTGAAACACATACACCAGACACCTCTCAACTTGTACATGTACATACATGCAGTAATATACTCATACATGCACTCTCACACCAGGTACGCATGCATGCACATACACTCAGCATTTCTAACTATCTCCACTCCAGTTCTTGGAAGGGGTGGCTGGAAAGATCCCTCTGCCTTAATTTAACAGAAGATCAGGGATTTTATCACCCTTTGTTAGTGCTAAGAACCACAGCACTAAGGTTGGAGATAGGCTCTCTACTTGTTCTTTAGAGAAAGAGCAGACAGATAGTTTATCTCCAATCTTGGATATATGTTGTTTTGCACAAAGATATGAGGGTAAAGATCAGGCAGAGCTATTTCTTAACAGTAAAAGACAGAAGGCAGCATTTCTACCCTCACCCCAGCATTACAGTGGCAGAAAAGGGAAAGACTGCCTTTTATTGTCAATGAGTAGCCAGAGGGCTTATCTCCAATCTTAGTGCTGTAGTGCTTAGAATGAAGATTAGATATCCCCTTTACTGCCTCACACCTGACATCACAGGTCATCGGATGTTTGACAGGTGCGTGTGGCTTGCACAAAACAGCTTGGCAAACCAAAGGGAGAGGTCTGGCAGGCCTACTTAGGCCAGAGGTTCCCAACCACCAGCATATGGCACTCCTGCAGGAACATTATGTTTTGTGTTGCTTTACTACCATTATTGCTAGACAGCAAAGTTCCTCTCCTCTAATGCAAATCAGTCGGGATGTTATTCTCCTCCAGTATTGCAGGTAGCCACCCTTGGCCCTCTGCAGATGCTGCTTACAAAAAATCATGGCCAACTCACCAGCACCAACACTCACCATCAGTAGCAGCTATAGTGAACTCATCGCCACAGGAAACCCTGATGACCTGCTTCCCCCCAAGAGGTCCTCCTAGCAGATTAATACCCAGACGTTTCTTATAGTCTCCAACACCCAGCTGCCCACACTTGTTGGAGCCAAAGGTAAGCAAACGACCCCGTTCTGAAAGAAAGGAAGAACAAGGCTCATTGCGGATACCACATCAGTGGCTAAGCTCTACTGGAGAACCAGACAGGCTTCCTCTTTATCTGATAGTTGGGTTTGCTACATCACCGGTAATTCTCAGGTTTCAGATTTTTTTTACTAATGTGGAACAAAGAAACTAATTTCAAAATCAGCATTGGTCCTGTTCAATAAACCTCAAATAGTTTGTAGAGCTTAAATTTTGAAACAGCAGATTTAAAATACAGTGCTAAATGCAAGGGTGCACTAATTTTAACAAGTCTGTACTTTATTAATTTACAATGTTTTCCAGTCTCAAACGGATCTATGTTTGCAAGGGATGTGATGAACAGATTCTGATGTTGAAACATACTTTAATTCCACTCTTCAACACTCAATCCATTACCCTGGTCGTTTGTTTGGACCATTAAGCACCCCCCCACCCCAAGTATTTTACAGATTTTATTTTGTAAGAATGAAATAAAATTACAATGGGATTAGATCTCACCATCTATGGCAGCTGTGTGTGTCTTTCCTGGGGCAATGGTGCGAACTTTGTAGAAGGAGAGTTTCTTGGCCAAAGTGAAGCAGGTGGTGTATGGAATTTCTTGGTAAGCCTAAGGGAAGAGAGCAAACAGTCCAACAAATCTATCCATGTGGTGCTTCACTAAGCCATAGTATCATACAGGTCCCTCCAAAGCAAACAATTTTTGCCTAGATCAAATTCTATTTTCTTGTACAGACTGCTCAAATACACCCAACCTGTAGCTGAATGTACCACACAAAACTGAAAGCAGCCTACTGCCAAGCGTGGTATATCACATTAGTTTTTCTTTTCCTTCTATGGCTCCAACCTAGTACTCAATAAATATGTTATGTTTAATTTATTAATGATTATTGAAAATAAATTCATTTTTATTAATAGATACACGTTTGCTACTTCCAGAACTTTATTTCCCACGCAATTTGAAAATTACTACTCACATCGTGATTAATGATCCCTGAAGTGCATTGGTTCAGGCCCAGTTTGTTGAACTCATTCAGACCGCAAGCCAAAACTTTGCCTGCCTGTGTGAGTAGGAAGGTTCCATCACTGCCACACTGGACTGAAACAATATTGGAAGTCTTCTGAATTTCTACCTATAGAGGAGAAACATGATACATCCTTGCAACAGAATACTTCAGAGTCAACAAGTAAGAGAAATTTTAGTTCAATAGCAGAGTAGATGCTTTGTATGAACAAAGTCCCAATGCAATCCTTATAACCTCCACTTTTAAAAAAGGATGAAGTAGCAGGTGACATGAAAGACCTCTGCTTGAAACCTTGGAGACCTGCTGATAGCAAGAGTAAATAATTCTGGGCAAATTGGACAAATATTCTGACCTGGTTTGATAAGGCTCCTATTTTCCTAAGTGAAGACCAAATATAATAATATCTAGACTAGGTAGAAAGGAGATCCAGCACCGAGGGCCTTCTGGTGGTTCCCTCGCTGCAAGAAGTGAAGCAACAGGGAACCAGGCAGGGTGCCTCCTCAGTAGTGGTGCCAGAGTTAGAAACTGAGATATGAAAGCTAGGAGCTAAATGGAACCATAAACCTACACAACAGCAGAATGTCTAGGTGCTTTTATAACAAGAATACAAAGATGTACATGAATGAACTGAAACTAAAATATTATGCTCATTTTTCACATGGTCTAGTCCAGGGGTTGGCAAGGTTTACCTCGCCTGGGCCGGTTCACTCCCGCGGAGATCGCTCCGTGGGCCGGATTGCGTCTGTGCAGATGCAATTTCTGGTGTCTGTGCATGTGCAGAAACGATTTCTGGCATTGCAGAAGTGAGTCCCTGCTCTGCGTTGCACCGGTTTAGCGCAGTGCGCGGAGACTCACCAAGTGGGCAGCTCATGGGCCGTTAAAAAAACCTCCATGGGCCACTTGTAGCCTGTGGGCCGCAGGTTGCTGACCCCTGGTCTAGCCTTCCCCTGCCCACCTCCCTAATTTTCTTAAGAGGGTCTCTTCTACAGTCTTCAGAGAGTAGCTGGAAGTGGGGAGGCAGAAAAGGTCCTCCTTTTCTTCCACTCTGCAGTTTTAGTCTGAAATCTTAGGCGCAATAAGAAGCGATCTTTGAATTACTTTCTTCCACCAGCTTATCCCTATTGATTATTGAACTGTACCAAATTCGTGGTCTTGAAATTGTTATAACTTTAGAAAACTGTCTTAAGAGAGGACATACCCCACAACAGAGCCACAGTGGACCTGTGTGAAGCCCATAAAGTATGGCAAAAGTCTAGTCAGTTTTACCTTCTGTGGGAGGCAGTGATCCTCTTCTGAATCCAAACCTAAGCGACCTGCATTTGAGAAGAGACAATAATGAGAAATTTCCTAGTGCTGAAGGCAGTGCCATAGCTATGGGGGGGGGGATTGGGGTTTTTGCCCCGAGTGAAGCATCTAGAGGGGCGCCATTGAGGCTCCAAACCTGTGTGTTTGTACACAAATGCGTGGGGTTGTGTGTGTGCGCGTGCGCCAATCTGGGTCTTTGACCTGGGTGAAGCAAAGCCTAGTTTCGCCCCTGGCTGAAGGACACTATTACAGATAATGACTTTCAGATTTAAAGCAGACTGTCCAGTCTGAGGAAACAGGGCTGCCTCATTTCTCATGTTCACAGATCCAACATCATAGATATGACCATCCATCTTTCCAGAATTAAGGATCCCAATTTAATCTGATGTCTTTCATAACAGTAAAAGTTGGATCTGTCACCGGTCAGTTACCAAAACAGTGCCTCTCAATTGCCTGTGATTATACTGTAGTTACATTTTTATTTCACACAAAAAATGATACCATTTGATTTTAAGAAAACATCTAAGTGGTTCACAACCATATAAAATGAAACTTGAGAAGGAGCATGCATGTTTTTCCTTCGAATGACTCTTATTGTGTGCATTTTGCCTCAGTCTCTACTGCCAGTATTAGAGACTGCAGACAGAAAGCCACATACCATATTCGCCACAGCCCCATGTGTAGACCTCTCGGTTTCGGGTCAGCACAGCCACATGGTTATCTCCACAAGAAACCTGCTCCACCGGGTTGCTGAGGAACACGGTCAGCTGCCTGGGCTCCAAAACCTCAGAACCAAATGCCTTGGAAACACCTATACAGCCATAGTAGTCTGAGCCGAAGGCAAAGGCTTGACCCTCATCTACATGAAAGGAAGGGACAAATGAGTAAGATAGAGATTCTGACTCCTTCAAACACAGGGAAACCAGACTACCATGTTATCTAATTATCTAGATCAAGTTGGGTCAATTACATGCTTGGACTAATGTGCCCTGCCCTGCGTCCACTAAATGATAGGGTGCCCCATATCTACACCGTGTATGCATATCACAGAGGTTACCATGCAGAATCTTTTTTGACTGTAAAACATGTTTTCTTCCTCATCTTTTTGTGTTTTATTGTATTGGTTTTATGCTGTATATAGATGTTGGTGATATATAAATGTTTAAAGCAACATGAAATAAATATTGATCTTGGGAAGCTGCACTAATTCCAGTGCAGCAGTACAGCAATTCCCTGTATTTACCTATGCCATAATATTTCATGCTCTCTTGCTGCAAAGGTCATTTTCTTTTTCAGCCAATACATATGTTATTTGTTTATTTATGTTTTACATTTATGCATCACCCTTCATCCAGGGACCACAGGGTGGTTTACAATGTATATAACAAAAACAAGATAGCATTTGAGTTCTTCCACACCATTTATCTGCTGGTACAGTTTACCTGTCTCTTACCTGTGATGCAGACAGTAAAGTCATCTCCACAAGACACTTGGCGAATGGCTTTGCCCTGCAGTTTTTCCACATGCTTAGGCTGCCGATAGGAGGCTTTGTCTCCATGTCCCAGTTGGCCATGCAATTTGGTGCCCCCTTGCATGTTCTGTAATATGCAGAAGCATGGTAAAGGATGGTAAAGGATGCATCCTGGGAACTCCAAGGAGCATTATTAGCAGGTCTGATGCGAAGGAACCAAGTAACAAACTATATATACTTCAACTGGGATCCTGAGAGACCCATGTACACCTTCATGCACACACCGGGGAGAGTGCCCTATTTTTCTTTCAGCAACAGCCTCTCACATGTTATAGGGTGTTGCTGCACTTGTCTGAACCTTTGGGGCTTTTTCCTGGAGGTGAAATAACTGCTGCCATATACAGAAAGCAAAACAAACAAACAAAAAAAACCCCTGTACATGTTTTAGACCTTGAACTTAAGCAGCATAAACTCTTGAATGGGGAGTAACACCTCTTACAACTTTTTGCAACTTATTAACTAGGAATATCCAACTGTACTGACAATCAGTAGTGATGTGACACCTTAAATATGACTCATGCAAGATCCATTCTGCACTGCCTTCACACATTATCCAAGTTTCCAAAGTACTTTTCATACACTTCACTTACCACCCAAGTATAGAGCTCCTTTTCTACTGTAACCACTGCAAAATGGGTGTTTCCTGCACAGACCTGTCGTGCACTGCAGCCACTTTTAATGGCATCCAGCTTCTGAGGGGATGACTTCCCACCCCCCCAGACATATACTTCACTCGTGCGTGATGTCACCACAGCAATAGGAGCCTCGTTCATGGTGCTTGTTCTGTAAAACATGAGGTCAATAGGGGAGTTATGAAGAGTCATCACTGTTTAGCATGAGTAGCTTTAGAAGCCCTGAAATAGAAGACAAGCTGGAAGAAAATTAAATTCCCAGGTTCCAGGCAGAAACATTTTATATAAGCCTTAGTGGTACTCGTGTTGTTCAGAAGCCACATAAACAGTATTAGGAATTTAAAGGTAGGGAACCTAGGGATAGATAAACAAAGATTGAAGAAGATTACTCCAATCTGCATACAAATAAAGATCAGAATCCAATTTGATGACTCAAGCAAGGCTTTTGAATTTCCAGAAACAGTAGCATGAGCGAAGCTTCACAGTTAAAAATTGAAAAAAATATGCAAACACTTCAGCAACTTTGTTTAGAACATCAACATTTTGTTACACGCAAATTTACAGCATTCCATGAAGGATAATCTTCCACAGCAAGTGGCTTTTATCTTAAGGAGAGAAAAACGTAGTAGTATCAGCAATGAAGTATTTTTAAGTGCAGTTTGGTGTCAAGTCAATAGGTGGCATACAACTAAACAGTTCTGCTAGCTGCGCACAAAGACTTTTAGCTGCACAATGGAATTCCCCCACCTTCTCCTTGTGCATCCCCTGAACAGATTTAAGTGTCACAACAGGAAGAGTTGTGGGCAGGTAAGTTCCACTGCACAGCTAACTCCTTGCATTAGCAGAACTGCTTAGTTGGATGCTGTCCAATTCAAATCTGTAGAGAAGAATGGGCACAGTTTACAAGAGTGGAAGCTGCCTTCTTCCCTTTTGGAACTCAAGGCAGTGTACACATTGTACCCAGGTAGTCTCCCATCTAGGTGCAGACCAGACTCAGACCCGCTTAGCTTCAGCAAGGTGGTAGCCTCATGCATTACCTAAAAGATAACATTGAAAGTGTGAAGCAATCAAGTAAGGATGAGTACGTCTAGGGACCTATTTCCTTTAATTCCGCTGTACAACACACACTCCATTACCTTGGTCGTTTGTTTGGGCCATTAAGCAGCACAACTTTCTCTTCCATCTCCCTGCCATGAAAAAAAAAAGCAATAAGAAGAATAGCAACCATCTGTTATTACAGCACTTCTGACAGGGGATTCCAACAGGCTTAACAGACACTAAATGCCATGCAGAAGAATCCTACCTAATCCTACTAGATGGCCCTCAGGGTCCCTTCCAATGCTATGATTCTAAGATGTGCCTCATCAGTCAATGGCCAAAGTGAATGAATGTGGGAAGCATTGACATGACTAGTAGGCTGTACAAGATTCTGTAGCTCTCTCCCAAACAACATGGCCTGTTCATGTCCAAGGAATGTACAACTCTTTACCTCCTGTGCTTGCTGATAAGGGGACTCTCAAGCAGCTCATCAGCAGTCGGCCTCTTCTCAGGATCCTGAAAGAGGTGAGTGACAGGTCACTCCCTAAGGAAAGGGATCATTTTTCAACAATTAAGTCTCAGGGCAGATTAACTAACCACATTCTTATGGTCTTTACCCATTTCCCCAATATACAGAGAATCAAAGGAATATTAAAGTTAGCAGAAAGTGTCAAGTTAAAGGCCACTGTAGATTCTTCACTTCAAATACAAAGGTATTTTAACAGTTTCTAAGCTGCTGCAGATCTTGGGCAGCCAAGAACACACATTCTGCAGAGCCCATACACAAGGATGCCCAGAAACTTACATATCCAGTCTTGTAATTAATACAAGGCATTTACCCCACTTTCCTCTGAAGTTGTGTCACTGAGGCAGCAAAGTTGAAAGAAAACTGTATCTCACCAACCTGATCAAGGCAGGAGTGGACCATGTGGATTAGGTCCAGAGAATAAACACTGGAATCTACCTCCATTGCTCGGTTCCCTTGCACAATCTTCAGACAGAGGTTCAAGGGATTCTAGAAAGGAAATAGTGTGATTATTCAAGTGCATCTGGAGAACCTGTTTAAGAAGATGTCCCGTGGATCTGCATTATATTCTCTCTCTCTCTGTTTCAGATGTTACGTACTATTGGAACATAGTTCAGTGGCAGAACATTTGCTTTTCATGCAAAAAGTTCTAGATTCAATTCGAGTATTTCCAGGTAAGGCTGGAAGAGACTCCTACCTGAAACCCTAGACAACCACTTTCAGGCAGTGTAGAAAATACCAAACTACATATAGCAACTGTATGATTCAGTAGAAGACAGCTTCCTATACACTTTCTAGATAGACTCAGAACATCAGCAAGGGGCAATTTACTGGGTGATATCCAAGTAAGTCATATTCAGAACCACTTAAATCAATGGACTTGTTATTTGGGTCCATCAATTTCAGTGGGTCTAATTCAAGCATGATAATCATCCCTGAACAGGAGATACCCAACTGACCTACAGCTCTCACTGTAACACATTCTTCACAACTGGGGGCTCCCTCTTGCGCTCTCAAGCACACACAGAACATTAAAAATGACTAAAGGAAATTATGTAGAGTTAGGGACCAGTCAAAGTGTGACTTACTGTTGCATCAAAAGTTCTTTTCAGTGTGAGGAGCTCAAAGGCAACACAACCAACTGCCCAGATATCAGATTTGAAGTTGTATTTTACTCCCTGGCAGAGCTCTGGAGACATGTAGTACGGGGTTCCTACCAACTACACAACAGAGCAAAAATGTTAGAGATAGTCTGCCCAACTCCTTGATACCAGTGGATCAGACACAGTTCATTGTTTTCCCTGCAAGTGCTAATTTCTAGTCATTTTATATAAGAACACCCATCTCCCAAACATGCTTATATTGTGTTTCAGCATGCAAAGTAAAAACTTAACTACTGGATTATAAGACATCTTCTATTCTTTTTCTGGGCTGGCCCAAGACTGTTTTGTCACTAAAGGCAGAACAGAAAATGCCACTCCAACCCTCCCACTGCCTCTGCTGGACACCTACCGCCTGCGTGCCCACGCCACCTGCTTCTGGGTGACAAACAGGTGCAGCAGCAACAGCAAGACTGCATGGCTGTGGGCATGCAGAGGAGAAAGAGGCAGTAGTGGTAACTTACAAGAATGCTCCACGGAGGCTGGATCTGCTGCCCTTCCCAACTGAAGGGTTGCAAATCTGAATGAATACATATTTGCTAATGGCAGGTTACAAAGTAACAGGATATATTATATTTCTAACAAGACAATTCAGAAGTGGAGTAGGAAAAGAAGCAAACAGCATTAAGTGGCATCAAAGGACCCCAAGCTCCTGATTTGCTCACAAAATCCCAGACAGGTACAAATAAATTAGTCTATCAAAACATTAAAGTTTCAGACACTCACTGTTTCAGCCATCGAATATTCAGAGTTCAGCTTTTTCGCCAAACCATAGTCACCCAGTTTTATAAGATTTGCTTTAGTGAGGAAGATATTCAGTGTCTTTATATCTCTAGAAAAAGAAGCATTAAAGTGATGTAGTTCTTCCAGTCACCAGGTATAGGACTCAGTTTGCTGCTATTCCTCCTCTATTAATGTTACTGTGAAAGGATTTAACTCATTCCTCTCCACACCTGATGTCACAGATTTTCGTAGCCCTACAACAACTGGTGGTACCAAGGTTGAGGAAGACTGCACTAGGGTATTAAGTTATCTGTAATATAGAAAATCCAATTTCTGTGCTAAGAAGAGTGAAGCAAATCAGATTGCTTCCCTTTACTCTACTTTTAGGATGGTATCCAATGCACTTGTTCCATTAGCACAAGGATTTCCATTTGCGTAACAGAACTCCCTGCCCCACACATGCACCCAGTGCCCTCCCCAATCTGATCCAGTGGGTTGGAGGAACCCACAGATTTAGGGAGCATGTGGGAGGCTCACATGGACAGCTGGGGAAGTTTCACTGATAGAACAAGCATATTTAATACCGCTCACAATTTGTTATGATAAATATTTATTCCCTGTCATCATATCAAATGCCCTAAGCAGTTAACAACAATAAAAGTACCAATTACAATAAAATACCAAGTAAAATAAAATGCTGTTAGTAAAATATTTAAAAATAACAACAGACAATTTAAAAAGGAACCACTGTATATCTTTTTATATGCGACGGCGGCAGCAAGAGTTTTGATCGCAGCAAAATGGAAGAGTAATGAAATTCCCTCTATACAAGCTGACAGAATATGCCGAATTAGATGGTTTATCAGAAAAAATAAAGAATAAATCAAAACAGGAATTTGTTTCTAAATGGGAGGTTTTCAAAGAATATCTGAAAAATAAATATAGTAGTTTAAATTCTGTTGCAGCATTCGAGGAACTTCAGTAATAGTTGCTAGGTAGATAGAAGAAATTAGATTTATTGAGAATAAGTTTAATTATGAAAAAAAAGTGTATTGGCAATAAGTAATATGAATTTGAAATATGGAATAGACGGGAAGTTGGGTCTTTAGTGTTAAGACCAATAGATGTTTTATTGTTTGCCAAGAAAATTATGTGTCTATGGTTATTTTTGTAATTTGTGTGTAATTTGGTATTTGTGGTTTTTTGTGTGTGTTTTTTTCTTGTTGTATAAATAAATATTTTCAAAAATAAATAAATAAAAAGGAACCACTGTAGATGCTCAAAAAATGCAGCAACGGAAAAACTAACTAAAATGGTATTTGCCGCAGCAGGCTATCAATACTCTCAAGCATGTTTTATCTTCAGGCACTAGGCCACAAGTTAGCCCAAGCTTCATTAATCACACCTACCTGTGAAGGATTCCTTCCCTATGGATGCAGCTCACTGCTGATGCAATCTGAAATAGGTACCACACTACCATCTGCAAAGAAAGAGAGTTCACACGGGAAACACTTCAGGAAGTTTATTTTAGAAAAATAATTTTATTATTCCAATATGAACAACTCAGTGTTGAGATATTTTTCAAGGTGTAATCTTTCCAGGATAACGTAGTCTCCATGGTGTAAGATGACAAGTGCTTGTCTCTTCACGATATAGTTTATGCCAGCAAATGAAAATGTTTAATTGTAAAGGCTATTGCCAGAATCTGTCAGTTACAAACACTTGCTATATGCCTTTGAGTTTAGTTTTAGCTTTTTAAATTGTTTTAATATGATGGTTTTTAGAATGCTTTAAATAATTTTGAGCACTAATTCTAGATGCACTTACTAGCCCAACTGAACACTTACTACTGGGACTTACTACTGAATAAACATGCAAAGTATTGCACTGTCAACTGCTGTAAAGATGACTAACAAATTTATAAATAAAAAAAATTAAAAATCAGTAATTGCATGTATTATTCTACTTACCAAATTTAAAAATTAGATTAAAGATATTGAAGAATGTAAATACCTTTGTTCCTTTTAAAAAATATAGAATGGAAGAGCAAGTTTGGAATTCTAAGCATACTGGCAGGAATAACCAGTTTCTACATTAGAGTTGCTGTCCTATGATTGGCTGTGTAATTGTAGTCATGCAGATTCTTAAATCTCTTAATAATAAGCCAAGGGCAACCTACAGAAAACTAGTAATAATAGCTAACTAGTAATAATAGCTAACCACAGTTATATCTAAGGCTGCAATCCTATACAGTGGTACCTCTGGATGCGAACGGGATCTATTCCGGAGCCCCGTTCGCATCCTGAGTAGAACGTAACACGCGACTGCGCGTCTGCGCATGCGAGGATCGCGTTTCACTGCTTCCACGCATGCACGTGATGTCATTTTGAGAGACTGCGCTTGCGCGAGCAGCGAAACCCAGAAGTAACACGGAGTGTAACCTGAAAACGCTCAACCTGAAGCATATTTAACCCGAGGTATGACTGTATATACTTACCTGGCAGTAAGTGCCACCGAACACAGTAGGTTTTAATGCTGAGTAAACATGCACAGGGATTACTCTGCATGAGAATCCTACAGATAGACACTTACTGCACTACTTACAAGCCATATTTAGAAATATGGGCTGAACATCAGGCCAAAATAAAAAACTAAAAAGAGATAAAGACTGTGAAATCACAGAACTAATTGCCATGGCATGGCAACCCCTCTGCCTCCTCCCATGTGTACTTTCCCATTCCACAAGGTCCTTAAGCACAACCCTGTTCTTCATGCCCTCATTTACTAAGACGAGTACCATTAGAGAAAGGAGTAAAATCTTTACAAAGGTTGTGTTTACACCCTGGAGCTCCCTTCCCAAGTAAGGCTTGCTCCCTAACTGTACTCTTGTCATACAGTGAAGAACAGTTCTGCTACTAAAGAACTTTTTTCACTGCATTTCTGCTGCTCACTTTTCCATGCTATTTTTAATTGTTCTCAAAATTACACTAACTGTTTAAGTCTTTTTAAAAAATAAAATAGTTAATTAATCTTTTTATTTATTTACAAATAAAATGTAACGTTCTACAAGATTATCTGTAAATTAATGAACAATCCCAGAAGAATACCATTCCATGGGGACAGGGAACAAAAGACCTGGACACCACTGAAACCCAAGTACAGTGGTACCTCGGGATACATACGCTTCAGGTTACATACGCTTCAGGTTACAGACTCCGCTAGCCCAGAATAATACCTCAGGTTAAGAACTTTGCTTCAGGATGAGAACAGAAATCGTGCTCCGGCGGTGCGGCAGCAGCAGGAGGCCCCATTAGCTAAAGTGGTGCTTCAGGTTAAGAACAGTTTCAGGTTAAGTACGGACCTCCAGAACGAATTAACTGCTTAACCCGAGGTACCACTGTAACATCTTTATTCTTGCTACGTGATCAACAACGAAGGATCAAAGTGTTCTGTTCAAGACTAGAACACCAAGAAAAGGCTAATTGTTTCCTGGCACAAGTGATGCAATTTGCTAATACTATAGCAATAAGCATGAAATAAACACTGTGAAAATGCAGCACATCAAACAGTACTAAACTCTGTTCTGTTACTTCTCAGTTTGTTCAAGTTACCTCTTCCTCAAACAACTTGTCTTTCTGCCGCAGGATCTTATCATAGAGATTTCCCCCTGCAATTAAAAGAGAGAAATGCTTTACCTATCGATTGTAAATGTTCTATTAGCATTTACCAGAAATCCTCCAGGAATTTGCTATTTCCCCAAGCTTTTTCATTATTATGATTATCACCTGCTCTTTACCCTAAGCATCCCAAGGCAGGTTACAACAATCCAAAATGCAGTTTAAAAGTACCGTATTTTTCGCCCTATAGGATGCACTTTTTCCCCTCCAAAAATGAAGGGGAAATGTGTGTGCGTCCTATGGGGCGAATGCAGGCTTTCGCTGAAGCCTGGAGAGCGAGAGGCGTCGGTGCGCACCGACACCTCTCGCTCTCCAGGCTCCAGGAAGCTATCTGCAAGCCTTGCGCGCCCAGGGGAGATCCCCCCCGGGAGCACAAGGCTTGTGGGCGGCAACCTGCAGCGCGGAGCACGGGGCGCCCCCCAGAGGACGCCCAGTGCTTCACGCAGGTGTCCGCAAGCCTTGTGCGCCCGCGGGGAGATCCCCCCTGGGCGCGCACGGCTTGCGGGCGGCAGCCTGCAGCGCGGAGCACGGGGCGCCCTCCGGAGGACGTCCCGTGCTTCGCGCAGGTGTCGGCAAGCCTTGCGCACCCGGGGGATCTCCCCCCAGGAGCGCAAGGCTTGCGGGCGGCAGCCTGCAGCGCAGAGCATGGGGCGCCCTCCGGAGGACGCCCCGTGCTTCGCGCAGGTGTCGGCAAGCCTTGCGCACCCGGGGGAGATCCCCCCGAGCGCGCACGGCTTGCGGGCGGCAGCCGGCAGCGCGGAGCATGGGGCGCCCTCCGGAGGACGCCCCGTGCTTCGCGCAGGTGTCTGCAGCCTGCCGCCCGGCGCGTGGGGCGCCCTGAAGCAGAGCACCCCTCATGCCGGGCAGACATCGGCCAGCCCCACAAGCTCGGGGGACAACGGGGAGGCGCAGCGCCGCCATCCCACTGTTCCCTGGCCTGGTTTTGAGGGGGAAATAAAGGAAAAAAAAAATTCCTTTATTTCCCCCCCCAAAAAGTAGGTGCGTCCTATGGGGCGGAGCGTCCTATGGAACGAAAAATACGGTATTTAAGAACTTATAATTAAAAAATACAATCACAATATTTTCTTTTTTTTAAGGGTGGGTTCTGAAAATGCACATCTCAGGTGTCAAAGGCCAAGGCAAAGAATTGTGTATTTCTTATTTGCTGAAAGCTGTATAATGAAGTTGCTAGATGGACCTCTGTGGAGAGGGAGTTCCATAACTTAGGGGCTGCCACAAAGAATGCCCTCTTCCAGGCTTCCCCTGCAAGATTCTGCAGATTTGTATCTGATTTACTGAGCATTTAGTGCCTCATCTTTCCTTTAGCTATTTCTGCTTCCGAAGTTTCTTCTTCCCACAAATACATTTTAGAATTTGTATCTGCGAAACGTAAGTGGCAGTTCTCCAAGATGACTCTGGTTTGTGTTAGAACTGTCACTAAAGCCTGCCATCTATAAACAAGACAAAGTGATTCTGCATTTCATCTTCCCCCACAGAACCTAAGATGGAAGAGATGTCTGCTGTTTACAAGACAAGAGTTCTCACCATTACAGTATTCCAGTTCAATCAGAAGTGTAGTGTTATCCATGAAGTGATTGTAATAGGCAATGATGTTGTCATGTTGCAAAAGTGCAAGGATAACAATCTCATTCAAAGCATCACGGCGTTCTTTTTCTGACAGTCTTGTAAGATCCACTTCCTTCCACACTACAAGTGAATCATCCTGGAATACAAAAAATCTAGTTAGCTAAATTCACGTTTAATTTCTTACAATGTATCAATCTTTTTTGCATTCACTTTCAGATTTAGTCTGAAAAATTCTCTATGGGCATTTCCTTATTTCTGATGCCAAAAATCGCTATCTACAACTAACACTCTCTTCCTTTTGAATAATAATCAAATAGCATAAACTTTTCAGAAGAAAGGTTATTGTTATTTTATGCACAACTCCACACAAACACTGTCTAAATTTGCTAACAGGAATTGATTAGCTCATAGGACTTGTCAGATATTCCAGCAACAACATTATATTAAAAATGATATAAAAACTTGGGAGTAATTAGTATTATATCCTTGAAGCAGATTCCTGATCATTCTATGGTTTTATCTAGCCAGTCTCTTAACTCCCTGAAGCTATAGCAGAATCTGTGATCAGGGGCCTTCAGGTTCTCTGTAATGCCATATTAAAAATATATCACTGACTGAACTGTGCCATCAAGTTTCCTTTTCCGCACAGGAAATGCTGGTGAACTGCCCTGAGATCTTTGAAGGGCGGTATATAAATTAAGTCAATCAATAAAGAAATAATAACCTACCACTGTTAATGATGCAAAACAATTAATAAAATGGAAATGTATTAAGGGAAGAGTTTGGCTGATATTCTGGAAAGTGACAGAAGTGGGCATTTCTACCTCAACCTCCAAAAACCACAACTACACATCTTCGGGTCCTTTAAATTAACTGGGCCCTGTTAGCCTTTTTGCTGAGGAAGCCAATGATAGATGTACCCTTTAACAATCTATATAGCACTGACTAGGGTTGCCATATTTTGAAGAGCAAAAAAGAGGATGCTATGATGGCTATTCAAAGCAAATAAATGCATTTTGTCTCAAATCTCACCCCTGAAAAAGAGGACATGTCCTGGAAAAAGAGAACACATGGCAACTCTACCACTTACTCACCCGCTCTGCAAAGGTTAGTGTCCATATGGGTGCGACACTTATAACCTTGTGTAAGACACTTTCCTGAAAAGTTGTGCTTGTTTTTTCTGTCTATGACTATCCTTTGTTATCAGCCTCTGTGCACTGTAAATGATATGCCTGACATATCCTTGCAGAAATATGATGCAGCTCTACAGCTGCCTTCTCCCTCTTCCATCCTGTCATTCGTTTTATCCCTGTACAGGAAGCTGTTTGAGAGGAAATATCACCACTACATCCTTGTGCCACATTTCATTTTCAGCTACCCAAATTCCATCAGCTTCCAAGTGCCAAATTAGAACTGGGAATTAACAACTGGTATCAATGGAAGCATCTCTCCCATGCCAAACAACAGCTTCAATTTTAGTTGAGATCATGGGCCAGGAGAAAAAGTGTTTACCCCTTTCCTTATGAATATCCAGATTAACCAGATAACATTTTCAGTTAAAGAATCAATCACACAACTCCAATGAGGCATTTAGCAACAAGTGTCCTTTAGCCCTAATTGCACCCAGTTCAAATTAACGCAACAGAAGCTCCTGGGTTTTGCATAAACACCCTCCTGATTTTATCAACCCCTATCAGAGAGGCATGTGTCTTCTGAGGGGCTCCCTTCTACTTCACACTTTCCAGAATCAAGAACTGCTTTGTCATTTGCCCTCCTGTGATAGCTCAGTTGGTACAGCATGAGATTATTTATCTCAATATTGTGGGTTCAAGCCCCACCTTAGGGAAAAGAGTCCCTGCATCGAAGGGGTTGGACTAGATGACCCCCCATGATCCCTTACAACTTCGTGATTTCCGAAGTGTTAACTTGTGTCTTCCTTTGCGAACAACCCCCCTGAAGAACTGTTCACACTTTAGCCTAAGTATTCGCGAGGACGCTACTTGGATGCATGGCCAAAGTTTGCTTGCTTGCTTTCCTGGCTGGGTCTCTGGCGTCTTTGAACATCTGCAGGATATGTCAGTGACAAGGGAGGGAGGGAACCCCGAGGGGGTGGCTATCTAAGGAGCATTTCGTGTCTAATAATGCTGCCATCTTTCGCGGGGTTAGAGCTGGGGTTCAAACAACGGGGGAGGAGGGGAGCCTCTTCAGCCAACGCGCCCGGAGATGGGAGGAGGGAAAGAATGGCGGGGCGCGGCGGAGGCGGGCGCAGATTTACCTCGGTCCGGCGGTACAAGGTGGCCTCTCCGAAGGCGCCCCGGCCCAGGACGCGGATGGGGGCATAATGCAGCTCCTCTTGCTCGCCGCCTAGGACAGGGCCAGGCCGGGGGCCGCTCCTGCCGGAAGACTCGTTGTCGAAGTCGGAGTTGATGGAGTCGCAGTGCCTCTCGTACTCGCCCAGAGACATGGCTGCTGCCTGCCTGCCCTGGGGCTGAGGAAAGGGGCGCCGAGGCTTCCCTGCCGCAGGGCTCGAGCGCCAGCCGCGGCCCCGCTGCTGCGAGGGAGACGGTGGGCAGCAGCAGCAGCAGCAGCAGCTTCCTGCTGTGGCCTCAGACGCTGCCGCGGATTCCACGGGGCTCCGGCAGTGCGCACGCGCGCCCCTCTCGCGGCCTCAGAACCAGGCGAGCAGCAGGGTCGCGTCCCCCCCTCGGGCTGCCCCTTGCCTTCCTTCACCGGCTTCCCGGAGGCCCCGCCGGCCCCCTACGCTCCATGTTGGCGGCTTCTCCCGACCCGGAACCACTTCAGCCCAGGCGCGGCCTCGCGGCAGGGAGGTTCGCGACAAGCCGTTGGCGAAGCAGGCGCGAGGCCGAGGGGAGAGCCACGCGGGGAGCTGGCGGGAGCAGCGCCTCAGAGGCGGCGTCTGTGCTGGGGGGTTGTCGTGTGCGCGCCTCGCTTGCATTTCAGAAGACCCCGTCCGCGTCCCTGGGAGGCGGCTCGCTATTGTCCCTGCTCTAAATAAAATGATGGGGCGGCTGTTGCTTCGCGGGGATTTGAGCCGGATCCTCCCATGCCGCTTAGGGCTGTCCCCTTTTTGCAACAAGCGATAGCCTCTTTCCCCGTCGAGGTGCTTGCTTGCTTCCCGGGCCGAGGGAAAGCGCGGCCACCGACTGCCCTCCGGCGTTTTAAGCCGGTTTTTCTTTGTTTGTTTTTGCTAGCGTCGCTTCACCTAGTTTTGGCATTTCCCGTGACTGGAAATAAAAAGGACATTTGGCCAGTGACTTCGTTCGAAAGATTCCCGGTGTGAAGTAAACCCATTTACTACAAAAGGGTGAACAGCACGAATCATCCACAATAAGCTTCGTGCTGTCGCGGTTTCCACAGCTGTTGGCAGAGTAGGTTCCACGAGTTTTTAGCCCTGAAGATGCTTCCGGACTCTCTGCATATTAGGACAATTGCTCACGTAGGTTTTTAGTAGTCTGCATGCACACTTCAAATATACACACAAAAAGCCCACAAAAACACAGTATCTCTGTGGAACCCTCCCTTTTTTCAAGGAGAAAAATAACTACGGTACCTAACTTTTAGAAGGCAGCCCTATGTAGGGAAGTTTTTAATGTTTGATTTTTTATTATGTTTCGATATATGCTGTAAGCCACCCAGAGTGGCTGGAGAAATCCAGCCAGATGGGCAGGGTATAAATAATAAAATTGTTGTTGTTGTTGTTATCTACACGTTGGTTATTCTTGGAAACTCCTGTGTAGGTATTTGTATATGAAACAGATAATTATTAGTAAAGTATCACCAAGGCATGCATTCTTTTTCTCTTACATGGATGGTGAGCAATGGACTGAATATTCACTTAAACATGAAAGAATTGAGTGCTCCATTATTATCCCTCACCACTGCACACTACTCTTCGTTAACATATACTACTGGGCACTATTGAAGACAGGGTAGTCAAGGTTATTAAAAACATGTTTTATTATACTATTAATATAAAAATAAGCACACACAAAGTACCTTTCATCACTATAAAAACAGAATGCAATGTTAACCTATTTCCACCAAGTTATATACCAGGAATGGAGAACCTGTAGGCCTTAAAATGTTGGCTGGCCTTCAGTCACAACAAGCCAAGGTGGATTTAGGGGAGCACAGCCGGTTTGGTAGCACTGGGCACAGAGCCTTGGGACACTGCAACTATGATATAGAATGGCAGGCAAGAGGCGTGTGTGTGTGTATTTTGGCACCACACAGGGCACCGCTGAAATTTGAGACCAAGGTCCGCCATTGCATGTCAATTCTAAGAGCAACGCAAGAAAAAAGCTGAGATACTGACTGTAGGAGTGAATCAAACACAAAGTTCTCAAAATCTTTTATTACTGCCCAACACATTCTGAAAACAATAAATTTCTTCCGGGGGGGGGGGGGGACACTATAAGCTATAAAGTCTTAAATGGCTCAGAACCACAATACCACAATAACTCAAGAACCATCTCTCCCCTTATGAACTGACCCATACCCTACAATCATAATCTGAGGCCCTTCATGTGCCGCCTCAGCGAGGTCTGGAGGGTGGCAACACTGGGAATAGGCCTCTTCTGTGGTGGCCCCCACTTGTTAAATGCGCTCTCCAGGGAGACTCCCCTGGTGTCTTCGTTACGTATCTTTAGGCACCAGGCAAAAAAATATTCCTGTTCTGCCAGGCCTTCAGCTAATTAAACAATCCGTGACTTTTTAAACTGTGGTGGCAGGGGATTGAGGGTTTTTTGTCATTATGGTATGTATTTTTGTGTTTTTAATATTGTAAACTGCCCTGTGATCTTTGGGTGAAGGGCAGTATAGAAATTAAATTAAAATTTATTATATTTCTCTGATTTATTCCAGCTGTAATCCAACAGCATCTGGAGTACCACAGGCTCCCCAGTCCTGTTCTAAGTGGTCAGGATTCACATCCATTACCAGAACTAAAAGTGAACTTTAATTACATGAACATGAGTCACACAAAATTCAGTTTTTCATCAACACAACTTGCAATAATAAAACATCCTGCATTTTAGACATTTGCTCACAGGACAGCTTGCTAAAAAAGATCTGATCTGATACAGCAGGGTTAACAATATAAAGCAGCATCTTTAAAGGAAAGTTTGCCCCTGCACAGGGTTAAATGGAACAAAAACTAAATTGAAGCATTTTCAATGTAGCAATTTACTCCCATATCAACCAGCAGTAAAGTACTTCACCTTAATTAGCTAGCCCCACTGCTTCAGTGGAGAGTAAAATTATTGCAAGTACTGTACTCTGTTTTGTTCACAAAACAGCAGACCATAAAATTTAATAGCTGAGGAACTCCTACCTTTTTGTTTTCCAGAGTTAGAATAAAAGCAATATACAGAAATCACATCCTCTGGAACTTTGTTGAGGGGGGATGACTGACACAGCACCATTTGTGTCCAAAGCCTGCAGTGCATTTGGATACACTCACTCCAAATTACTCACTTCAGTTTCTGTTCCCTGAGAAGAAAGATGGTTGGCAAAACATCTTATCCCTACAAGGCTGTTGAATGGTTTAATATGTAAAGGTTCATCATTGTTCCACTCGATGTGTATGTCTTTAAGGGGCCAGAGAAAGGGCCAGAGCAAAATAACGAGACCCAGCTTTACAGCTGTGAAACATAGCAGGTGCTGCTGAGTTGTATTGATTAAGCTGTGTTGGTAATTGGGTGTAGTATATAAGGAGCAGCACCTAGCTCTCCCATTACCCTGGGGATGGGTTGGTGGTTGGGTCATGTTTGTTTGTTAATGTATTTAGTGTAAAAGGAGTTTTTGTTTTTCTTATTAAAACCTTGTTTAAGTTATTTTTGAGTCCCTTTTTAATGCATGGTCTCCCCAGCAAGCTCTCTGCAGCGCTACCATACTGCAAAAAGCCAACATCTTTGGTTATGGGCCCAGCTGCTGAGTGGATGACTGCATATTTTGGACTCTGAGAAAGGTTTGAAAACTCCTTCTCCTGTTAGCGTAGTTCTGTGGGTCTGGAAGAGTTCCAGAATGGTTGACCGGGTTCCTGAAGCTGAGAAGGCTCTGGTCTTCCCACAGCTGACAGATGAGAACTATAGTTTATGGTCTTTTCGGGTGGAGGCGCTTTTGACCTCTAGAGAAGTATGGACCTATGTAACTGATGACCCTCCTGACCCTGTGACTAATGCTTGGTCGAAAGGAGATGCGAAAGCCAGGGCGATAATTAATTTGGCAGTCAGCGACCAGCAAGTAGTCTATATAAGAAATAAGAAAACTGCCAAAGAAATGTGGGACAGTCTTGCAGCAGTGCATGTTAGAAAAGAGTCAGCGTCTGCATTGACGTTTTCAAGCAGTTGTACCAGACGAAGTTGCAGCCTGGTGGTGATTTGGCAGCACACTTGAGACGTCTGGAGGCAATACGCGGCGAATTAATTCGAAGGGACATGGAGATACCTGATATTCAGTATGTTTTCATCATCCTTTGTTCCCTTAATGAGGACTTTGATGGTATAGCTAGCCAGATATCTGCCGTTCCACCAGCACAATTAACTGTGGAAGGGGTAACGGCAAGATTAATGGGCGAGTTGGACAGAAGGGAGGCTTGTGCCATAAGCACTCCTATTTCCAGAAAGAATGAGGAACGCCATATGCAAACTTGTGGTGATACAACTGCATTTAAAGCTGCAAAGCGTTGTTGGTTCTGCAATAAGCAAGGACATTTTGCAAAGGACTGCAGATCCAAAAGAAAGCAAAGTACTCCCAAGTCTGTTTCTGTTCGTCAGTCACGGTCGTCAGCTCAGCAGCCGGCATCGTACCGTAAAGACAGAAGCGAGCCGCGAGCTTTTCACGCTAGCACAAGAGATCGTAAAAGAATTAAAGGTGCCAAGTGGAATTCTTTTATTGTGGACTCAGGAGCATCTCAGCACGTTTGCAACGATCGAAGCTTGTTTATTTCTTTCGAAGAGGAAATTGGTAATGTACATTTAGCCAATTCACAAGTCTTGCAGTCGCTTGGCAGGGGTACTGTTAAACTTGACTCTTTAAACATTACTATAGCGAACTGCATTTACTGCCCATCAGTGGACAATTTATTGTCAGTAAGGTGTTTTGCTCGTCAAGGCATAACTGTGCGTTTCTTAAAGTCAATGTGTGAGTTTTTCGAGGGAACAAACGTCTATTGTATGCCCGGGAATCTGATGGTTTATATAGACTGTATTTTCGCACCTACTCCCAATCGCCTATAAATTGCAGAGCAGCACAGTCAAGCCAGGGGTTGAGGAATGTAAGGCCACATTCTGGGTGTGTCCATGAGGCGCACAGAATTCTGGGACATCTGAATTTTGCTGATGTAATTAAGACCAAGAATATTGTTAATGGCCTCAACTTAAAACCATGTAAATTCTTTATGCAATGTCTATCCTGTTGCAAGAATAAGATTAAGGTTGCACGCAAGGGTAGGTGCTCAGATAGGAAAGTAACTGAGCCATTTGAGCGTGTACATTGTGATTTAGTTGGGCCACTCCCACCATCCTTAGGAGGTTCTAAGTACTGGCTTACCCTGATAGACCAGTATAGTAGATATTGTTGGACTTATGCAATAGCTGAGAAGTCCCAAGCATTTGAGAAGTACAAAGTTTTTTTTGCAACTGGGTAAAAACACATTTTAACAAACCTATTAAGAACCTTTTTTCTGACAGGGGCGGGAATTTGTTTCTGAGGATTTTGAGAAATTCCTGGAAGCGCAGGGGACTACTCATGAGTTATCTTGCCCCGAAGTCCCTGGCAAAATGGGCTTGTTGAAGTTGTGCAGCGTGACCTGCAGGCAGGGGTTAAAACTTATCTGCATGATGCTAATCTGCCCAAAGACTTTTGGGCTGAAGCGCTCAATGCCTTTTGTTATGTTAGAAATCGCAGTTATCATTCTGGTTTAGATGTCACCCCTATGAGAAGCTGTTTAAAAACGCCTAATCTGAAATACCTACGCATTTGGGGTTCAGATGTAATAATGCATTATCCCGCTAAGCAGAAATTGGGTGAACGTAGTGTCCAGGGAAAATTAATGGGCTACCAGCAGGGGGCGTACAGAATTTATAGTAATGGTATAGATAATACTGAGGAAGAAGAGGTAGAAGAAGCAGCAGCAGCAGCAGCAGCAGGAAATGGTGCTTCTGAATTAATGGAAGAAGACAAAAAGCCTGTTGAATCTGATAATTTCTTTGATGATTTAAAGTCACAGGCACCCGAGGGAGGTTAGATTCTCTTGAGTTTTCTGACCGTGAGCTTAGCCAACAGGCATCTCTTCAGTCTGACAATGATGATTTACAACCTGAAACTAGTAGTTTACATAGTCCCATTAAGTCTGAGGAGTCTGACTCTCCTTCCGGACTGAGACGTTCAGATAGAAAGAGACAGAAGCCACAACGTTTTGCAGATGAACATTTTAATACTGTGTATGCCAATAAGGCAGTTTTGAGCCAAAAAGCTACAATGATGTTCAGAATTTACCTAAGCACCAAGCTGTAAATTGGTATAAAGCTATGAACTCTGAAATAGCTTCTTTAAAAGAGCATAACA